ATACACTGGAGCATACGGTGGAGGGGAAGAATCAGGAGCTGTACTTTGCAATTTGGCAGCAGTCATCCATTTTTCATTTAGTTTCATCATCATTGAAATCAATGTAATCTCATCTGTCAACTTTTCAATTTTCTTATTTTCTAACGGCTTCTCTCTTTGCATTTGAGAACGTTTCTCCAAAACTAATTCTCTTAGTTGTTTCATTAACCCTTCACTTGGGGGTGAATCTGACTTAGCTAAAATACCATCTTTCTTTTTTGATTTTAACCACGTCCTCATGCTCCTTGTTGTTGTATTTTTAATCTCTGTTGTCCCCTCTAAATACTGTATAATCCCCTTTATCCACTCATCTAATGTTACAGATGCCATGTTTTCTACCGTCTAGATTACAAGCCTTGTGTTATCAATATCAATGTAAAGAATCAGCAATTGGGTGCGTAATCTTAGGGCGTCAGATCGTGGTATCTCCCCGTTCGACCACAAATGTGGTGGGGAAATGTACGCACGAATCGTGACCCCGTCCTACGCGACCCAAATTGCTGCGTTCACTGTGACCGTGGTGCAATGGTCACTTCCACAGAAAACATCAATCACTCATTCACACCAAGAGAAAAATTAAAAGTGAGAAAAGTTAGACACTTTCCCTGTCCTCTCCCTCTCGTCAATTAATTAAAACACACAGTTTTCTCCTTTACTATTAAATCACTGAGATAGCACACAGTTCACTCCTTTAACTCATAACTCACTTAGATCCTCACACAGTTCTCCTTTTAGGTTGACTATCCATCACTGAGATAAAACACACAGTTTTTCTCCTTTTCTTAAGTCACTTAGACTTGAATACTAATATCCCAATAAATATAAAATACTTGCAAGCAAATCCTTCAATATTCACCCTACTTTTGTTTGTTTTTTTTATTTTTAGGTCTCAGGTCAGGTCAAAAGGAAAGATTAATTAGTTGGTAACAATTCTTACAGTTTTACTTTGGCGCCAAATTAATATTTTCTTTGACCGGTCCAAGTGTCTCCTGTCGAATCCTGTTCGTGACGCCAAGTTCTGCAGTAATTTGTCAGAATTCCCCCGCCCCAGAAGCTGCAGACAGGCCGCACAGCCCGTTTCGTTCTGCAGGCCCTTTTAGTTCAACAAGAGACAAAAACCAATTGTTAAAACAGTAAATAGAAATGACAGATACCAAACCTGATTTCAAAAGGTTATATTGAAGATTTGCAAGCAATATTACAATATTAACGGTCTGCGAACACAAGTCTCGCTTCGCGTCCAAAATAAGGAGTGGCCTCGGGGACGTCTCACTGCTCCTTGTCAGAAGAAAAAGCAAAAAGTTCCCCGTGACCACTTCTGCACATCCCTTTATACTATACATCCAAGGTCAAATGACATCACAACGTTTGCACCTGCTCTGATAACCACTCTTGTCTCCCTCCCATTTCACACAGACTAACCTTGAACTCACTGCTCTTTGAGATTTACACAAACAAGTGCTAATTTGGCAACAGAAACAATACTAAACTGATTTTAGTTTAGCTGGTTCAGGATTTTAATATTCCAACAGTGTTTATTTATTTCGAGTTCATGTACCTCATATCATCCATTTACAGTTACTTACTAGTTACAATGTTGACATCATTCAAACCCAAAAAGGAGTGGGAGAAATCCCTATTTATTGCTGTGATGCTGCTGATGTGTGAAGGCTTTGTTCTGTTTGAGTTGTTTTAAAACTTGAGTTCTACTGTTTTAATTCATGTTATTCCAGCCCAAACACAAATGTACAAACTCCAACCACACAACACATAAACACAAAGTCCACAATCATAAAACATTGGCTTCATGATTGTGGCTTTATTTATTTATTTGTTTTATCTTCCACCAGTGGTTGTTAATCTTCCTGCAGGGTCCACAAATTATACATTTACAATAACACATTTAAAACAGTATGAAAAGCATTTTCAAAATTACAAAAGACTGAAATATTTCACATCATCCTTAGACCTTCATTCAAGCTTTGTCGTTTTAATTTTGCTTAAAAATATATCTATTATTAGTTTCCCTTGATGCCACAGAAAGCATCAACTGTTCTCCTCGTACAGTCTGACTTTGGAAAAGGAACAAGTAGATCATGAACCTGCCGAGTCACATGTTGATGGCACTAACCGCTGTAAACAAGTTTTTCCACAAAGAAATGTGGATTTTTTTATAGATGGAGCAGCTGATTGTTACAACACGCTGCACTGGCTGATCTGAAGTTAGCTGGATGAAGGTTTTATTTGTAAAAGACTACTTTGTATCACAGAGGGCCGCATTTGGCCCTTAGGCCTTAGTTTGACCCCCTACTCTATTGGCAAAATCTGATGATTCAGTCCTACACACACTTCATTTAGTATTAGTTAAAAAAAAAAGTTTAGTAATAGTTTTAAAATATAAACATAAAAACATATTTATAAGAAAAAAAGTATAGGAGCTATACCCGTTTCTGCAACGTTTTTTTCAGTTTGAATGTTTAGCACCGCCCCCAACTCGCTTACAGGCTTCTCATTTCCCCTACGCTCTCATTCCACAGAGCCATCTTTAGGACTACAGATGAAAAATAGCCGCTTGGCTAATTCTGGCATATTTACAGAAATATTCATTAATATGCACTTCCCACCTCGACACCTCCACCGACTCCCACTGATGTCTGCTGCCGTTGTGTCCTTGGGCAAGACACTTAACCCCACTTTGCCCAAAAGCCCCCGCTGATGGATCAAGGCTAGCTCATACTTAAAAGAGCAGCCATACTCCTGTGGACTCACCACCTGCAGACGATCAGTGAGGGGCTGGTGCTATGAGACTTTGGGTGGCATCTCTGACTGCCACCCCCCCGACCCAGAAATGGATAAGGGGTAGAAAATGGATGGATGGATGCACTGCCCCTGTAATAAATAAATAAATCTAGTTTTATATGCGATCTGATACGTATGAAAACATTAGCATTAGCGCAACTTAAGCTGTACAACAATCACTGATGAAATGGTACAAAAGCAACGCACTGCTAACAAAATATACAGTGCCTTGCGAAAATATTCGGCCCCCTTGAACCTTTCAACATTTTGCCACATTTCAGGCTTCAAACATAAAGATATAAAAATTACATTTTTTGTCAAGAATCAACAACAAGTGGGACACAATCGTGAAGTGGAACAAAATTTATTGGATAATTTAAACTTTTTTAACAAATAAAAAACTGAAAAGTGGGGCGTGCAATATTATTCGGCCCCCTTGCGCTAATACTTTGTAGCGCCACCTTTTGCCGCAATTACAGCTGCAAGTCGCTTGGGGTATGTCTCTATCAGTTTTGCACATCGAGAGACTGGAATTCTTTCCCATTCTTCCTTGCAAAACAGCTCGAGCTTAGTGAGGTTGGATGGAGAGCGTCTTCAGCTCTTTCCACAGATTCTCGATTGGATTCAGATCTGGACTTTGACTTGGCCATTCTAACACCTGGATACGTCTATTTGTGAACCATTCCATTGTAGATTTGGCTTTATGTTTCGGATCATTGTCCTGTTGGAAGATAAATCTCCGTCCCAGTCCCAGGTCTTTTGCAGACTCCAACAGGTTTTCTTCCAGAATGGTCCTGTATTTGGCTCCATCCATCTTCCCATCAATTTTAGCCATCTTCCTTGTCCCTGCTGAAGAAAAGCAGGCCCAAACCATGATGCTGCCACCACCATGTTTGACAGTGGGGATGGTGTGTTCAGGGTGATTGCTGTTTACGCCAAACATATTGTTTTGCATTGTGGCCAAAAAGTTCGATTTTGGTTTCATCTGACCAGAGCACCTTCTTCCACATGTTTGGTGTGTCTCCCAGGTGGCTTGTGACAAACTTTAAACAAGACTTTTTATGGATATCTTTGAGAAATGGCTTTCTTCTTGCCACTCTTCCATAAAGGCCAGATTTGTGCAGTGCACGACTGATTGTTGTCCTATGGACAGACTCTCCCACCTCAGCTGTATTTATCTGCAGTTCATCCAGAGTGATCATGGGCCTCTTGTCTGCATCTCTGATCCGTCTTCTCCTTGTTTGAGATGAAAGTTTTGAGGGACGGCCGGGTCTTGGTGGATTTGCAGCGGTCTGATACTCCTTCCATTTCAATATAATTGCTTGCAAATCTTTTTGTATCCAAATCCGGCTTTAAACTTCTCCACAACAGTATCTCGGATCTGCCTGGTGTGTTCCTTTGTCTTCATGGTTCTCTCTGCGCTTTAAACAGAACCCTGAGACTATCAAAGCTATCATTTATACGGAGACTTGATTACACACAGGTGCATTCTATTTATCATCATCAGTCATTTAGGACAACATTGGATCATTCAAAGATCCTCACTGAACTTCTGGAGTGAGTTTGCTGCACTGAAAGTAAAGGGGCCGAATAATATTGTACGCCCCACTTTTCAGTTTTTTATTTGTTAAAAAAGTTTAAATTATCCAATAAATTTTGTTCCACTTCACAATTGTGTCCCACTTGTTGTTGATTCTTGACTTTACTGTATGTTTGAAGCCTGAAATGTGGCGAAATGTTTAAAGGTTCAAGGGGGCCGAATACTTTCGCAAGGCACTGTATAACGGAAAGATTACCACTAGTTTTGTGTCCAAATGTAGTCCAGTCCGAGGTGGTCCCGCTTCAGGAGGTGTCTCCGGAGGATACGATGTCAGCTAGCTATATTCACCCGGGCTTGATTTCTTCTCTGATAATTTTTTTGCTTTAGTTCCCTCTTCTCTTCCTCACTGTTGCATCGTTTGGGCTGTTTTGCTGTGTATGCAGTTACGGCGAGAGGAGCTATAGCCACTTATGCTAACATGCTGTTGTGTGAGCTGCCACTTAAGCCCACACATTAAGAAATATACTGTTAACTTTAATAATGTGTTCAGTAGTGCCGCTTGTTAGTATTTGTTGAACTGTAATATTTTGTGTTTTTCTGTTTAGGCAATACGGACTGTGAAATGCAAACTGCTACCGGACTGATTCTTCTGGGGCTTTTCATGTTCCAGGGGAAAATAGTCAAAGCAAAACCAAGTATGTATCAACGCATATTTAAATATACACCTTATATACATTATATTATTTTATCTGATACTGTACAGAGGTGGTTCTGCTCATGTCTAGTCCACAGTTGTTTGAGCTTCAGGACCTGCTCATATCAGTCATATGAGTTTAGATCCTCATGAGATCCCAGAAACTAACAAGTTCTGGGAACAAAACAGTATGAACTCTGCTCAACTGTGAAAATCTGTTTCTCTCAGTCTGTTTCGATCCCTCCGTCAGAAAGAATTAAAGACTAAAATCCTAGTGAGTTGAGTTATTTTATGGCCACAAAGGTTCTTCACTTTTTATTATATGGAACAACATATTTGCTCTATTATTTCTTACATCAAAACACTGAAGATTTTTGTGTCTTTCTCATGAACGAGCAGAATCCAGGAATGTTGCTGCACATCTTTGCATTGTTGTTGATGCTGCTGGATATGTGTGTGTATGTGCGCGTTAGATCGTGTATGTGTGTATTTATATACGTTTTATGCATACCACCCAAGTGACTGCTAGCCCTGATGCACCTGTGTTTTGGGAACAAAAGGCGGGGATCAGGATGGAGAGAGAGGTAGCAAGTTATAGGGACGGCAAGAGCACCTCAGTCTAGCAGGGAAAGTCCTGTGGTTTTGAAAAAAAGTGGTGCATCCCTAACTAGAACCTTTCACATGAACAATATCCCTCAGACTAAAAACGCAGAAGTGATGCAATGGTATAAAGGTGGCGTTGCATGTAATATTTCCTTTTGTTGTGTTCTAGATGTTTCTCTGAACTGCAGCGAACCACAGGATCCAGTGTACAGTGGACAGAACGTGTCTGTTAATTGCTCGACAATCACTGACAACAAAAATTGCATGTTCTATCGCGTCTCAGGTTTCCGTGACCGCTCAAAGAGACTGAACTGCACAGGAAAGTCGGACAACATGACGGTCCATAGTGGGATGTACCGTTTTGGGATCTATGTTGAGATCCACAATGTCACCAACCCGGGGAATTATAGCCTTGACTTTTTTTTTGACTGCGGAGTGGAGAGTAAGGGGAAGCCCTTTAATGTGACCGTGCAGGAGAAACCTGATACTCAACAGTTTGGTAAGAAAACACTTCCAGAACATGGAAATACTCACCTTTTCAGATCTGTTATAAATCAATGGTTCTCAACATTGACACTTGTTCAATAGGGATTTTAACTTTAACTATTGACCTACATTCAATCCACCTAGAAATAGGGCACATTTATAAAGCCCAACAGTTTCCAGAAAAATTAAAACCAACCATGTCAAAATAAAAAGGTGAAATAAACAAATCAATGATATCCAATAAAAAAATCCAATATATTAGTTTTAGCTCACCCATACAGACAACAGGGTTAGGTTCATTTCACCAAAGAAGAAAAGGGCAATGATAGAAAACCATACCATCCTGTTCTGATTCAGTCTTGCCCCTCCTCATGATTCTTTCTCTTGACAGGCACAGACTCTACCCCGCTACAGACGCACCTGTACGTTGGCCTGTTCGTAGGTGCTCTGGTCGCACTGATGGTGGTCGCACTGATTATATATGGAATAAGAAGATCGCGAAATAACGAGGACTATACGAGGCCTTCTCAAACGCAAACTGTATAATATTTAATACATCATTATTTATAGATGTATTCAAACTCCAGAGGGTTGGCAGTGCCACAGGGGTCAATCCTGGGGCCTCTTCTGTTCAATCACTACATGCTGCCATTAGGTCAATACGTGGGTTAATATGCAGTAAGAACTCTGATCTAGGTCTCACTGACAGCAGGAGAACATGGACGAGTGGACTCTGTTCTTCACTGCATCCAACAGATCGATGAGTGGATGTAAAACGACTTTGAAAACTCACTGAAAATTAAAAGGATTGTCTATTTTTTTCATACAACCGTTTTATTAGGTCAGATATCGAGAATTATTAATGGACTCAAACCTACAACTGCCACATCAAATCAGTAACGTCAGCTTTCTACAATCTAAAAAACATTACCAGGAGATAGTGTTCAAAGTAAACTTGGAGATTCTTATATTGCTTTTGTCTCCAGTGTTAAACTACTGTAACGGCTGCAGCATATTCAAAACAGTGCAGAACGAGTCCTGGCCGGAACCAGGAAGTGCCATCACGTTAGTCCAGTCCTCAGGTCTCTGTACTGGCTCCTGTGGCTCAGAGACTTTAAAGCATTCTCTCCATCGCCTCGCACAAAAATGCATCTGTGACATGTTAGTCCCACACGCACCAACTGGGACTCTGAGGAGCACAGGGGCTGGCCTCCTGCTGGTACCCAGAGTCAGAACTAATCATGGGGAGACAGCATTTCAGATTTATGCAGCTACAATCAGTGTAGCTTCTCTGACTGTTGTCAAATCCAGTTTTTAACAGTTCTTTTCAGCTGTACATACAACTTTCTACTTGTTTTAATGTACTGTGATTATTTATGAACGTATTACCTGTCAATAGCCATCCATCCATCCATTTTCTTCCCCTTAATCCATTTCTGTGTTGGGGGGGTGGCAGTCAGAGCTGCACCAAGTCCACAGAGCACCAGCCCCTCACCCCTGTAGGTGGTGAGTCCACAGGAGCCTTGAACGTTCAGTGGGGGCTTCAGGCAAAGTGCGGTTAAGTGTCTTGCTCAAGGACACAATGACAGCAGACATCAGTGGGAGTTGTGAAGTAGGTCTTGTGGTGGGCTCGAACCAATGACCTTCAGGCCCAAAGGCCAATACCCACTGTGTTTGTTACCTGATTTTAATTGTTATGTTGTTAATATCTGGTGTGATCTTAATGATTGTTTTAATGCCTTATGTGATAGAGCCTGTGAAGAACCTGGTGTTACCTTGTGTAGGAAAAGCACTCTAAAAATAAAGGTTTATTGATTATTACTGATCTGTTTGCATCATTATTCTGCACAACTTATATTAAATAGTCTGAATGTTTTTTGGATGGAAAAGCAACTTTCTGTAAGAGGTCTGAAATTATCCAATTGGAAAATCTCGTTTTAAGACAAAAGTATAAATTTGTATAGAAAACGAAAGATTAACTGAATTAATTGCAATTAAACCCTAGTTTTGGATATTGTTTTTGAATAACTTTGATAAAACTGCATGTGTTTTTTTTATTCTAAGACCTAGATTTCAACTGATATTTAAATATAAAAAGAGAAGCCAAACTAAACAACCAGAACGAAAGGAAAAAAAAACATAATAAAAAAGACAAGAATAAATTCACTTCTCAGTTAAAAACTTTGTAAAAAAAAAAAAAAATGACAAAACTCTTCTAAAATACAACGTAATTATGATTTGGACGTATTTCATATGTTGTGTCAAACTTTTGAATAGAACCTAAAGTGAGTGATGTCATCAGGGATAACCTTTATTCGTCCTTCTTCAGTGGGAATTTTCACCGTCGCCCACCTTACAGACGCAATAAGACGCACACATCAAACAAGATCTATTATTTAAGATAACGGGTCATAAAATATACAATCATAAAATTAAATGATAGATAATAAACTGGCTATAATTGCATTTGGGTCAAACAGAAGTACATTTGTGGAGAACTGTAGTGAGTGAGTAATCTTTTTATATCAATCAATCAAATTTTATTTATAAAGCGCTTTTCATACAAAAAGTGTAACACAAAGTTAGTTAAAAACAATCCAACATGCCCAGCCCTAAACCCTCCTCCCCACAGACCCCCCAAAACCACATTTATAATTATATATACAACCACATGCGTATACACACACACACACACACACACACACACACACACACACACACACACACACACACACACACACACACACACACACACACACACACACACACACACACACACACACACACACACACACACACACACACACACACACACACACACACACACACACACACACACACACACACACACACACACACATATACACAAGTATAAAGTCATATCAGGTAAAATAGGTAAAACAATAAAAAGAAATGGGGCTGGGAGCAGATGTAACCGGCTGAAGAAGCGTCATCCAAGGAGCCATCTGCACCAGGAGCAGAGAGCCGGCTGCAGCCACAGGGAACGACACAGGACCCAGAGCACAGTTTTACAGACCAGGGTCACTCAAAGCCCTTTACAATGTTCAGATATTGTTCCATTTTCTCCACACGGTGATGACGAGAGCGAGATGCGGAACACACTGGACCATCAAAGCCTCCGACCAAACACCATCCAGTCGCTCACTCATTACATTCAGAGCTCTTGTGCATGTTTTTAGTGGTAGGGGAAACCAAAACACCTGGAGGAAACCTACGCAGACACAGGGAGAACATGCAAACTGTACTCAGAAAGACCTATTTTACTCAGAAAATAAACTGAAAACTAAATAAAAACTGAAACTGTTCCGACCGGGGACTCAGCCATTGTGCCGGCCACTAAACTGTCATTTTTATTGGAATTACTGCACTTGCTCTGGTTAATAACTGATCTCTGCCCCTGACAATATTGCCTGTAATAAAGTGGTGAGTTCTATTATAAGCTTCTTTATCTCCATTATATTGTCAAACACAGACATAATAAAACAAAAAAAACAATCTCTACATATGTAATCGTTGTTCTCTAGAACAGCACTTTTCGCGCCAAGGACCTGTTTAACGTCATACAACATTTTATTTCAAACAATCTATTTGATTTACACAAGAGACATTTTCCACAGGAGTTGTCTAAAAAGGTACAGTTTTCCTAAGTTATCCTGGTTTTATGTAGACTGGCCTCAGCCATTTGCAAACTCTGTTCAATTATCATTTCCTACATGTACGTCTGTGTCTGTATCCCCTCCGACCAATCAGACAGCACGGGAGGCGGGTTTTGTAGGTCGGTGATATCCAAATATCAGGAAATTGAAGCCGGAGCAAGAGGAAGGTTAGTTTGAAGGAGCAAAGGACAGTGGTGATGATCTAACACACATTTAATCACATTTATGGACTTGATCAACATTTATGGACATTGGTCTCTGCTCCTTATGGCCCAATGGCTTTATATGTATTATTTTTATAATTACATATATTGTGTTTGTACTGTTTGATTCTCTGATCTGTGTTGGCGAATCAAACCGCTTTTTTTAAAGTCCTCCGAGAAAACTACTGCTGTGATTTAGGTCTACAAGAATAACTGACTCGTTTCTGTCAGTGTGCCCCAGGGCAGCTGTGGCTAAAGTACTAGTTTATCACCATTCACCACCGTCTTTCAGTGTTTGGAGTGAATGAATAATGACATTTGAAGAGTCCAGAAAAGCACTGTATAAAACTAATGCATTATTGTCAGTATTATTTCTATTGATAAGAAAAAAGCCTGGAGTTGGTACATTATTGAATACTCATAGTCTGTTCCTTTGCAGTTGTACAGAGACCTTCCTCCACTTCCTGTAAACTCAACACACATATCACACCCAAAGAGGCCAAGGGAGTGATCGTGGCCCGTGGGTTTGATGAGCCGGAGGAAAAGAGGAAAAGAAGGAAACCGTGAAAAAGTACCAGGGCGGGGTGAAGACCAGAGCGGACAGACCGACCTCTGCTTCTGTCGCTGGAAATACCTCAGTGACGGCTGCGAGCTGCAAACGTTCATAAGCCATGGCAGCATCTTCGTAGTACAGTAAAAGGTAAACTCAATCTGTCAATCTAAAGGTTTATTTCAAAACCTGTACACACAATTTGACAGAACAAAAAATAGAATAGTTTAAAAAGAGCCAGCAGAACTGCAACACAATAAACAAAATAATTTATATTTGTTCTTTAATTCAGACATTTAAAGGAGCAGTATCTAAAAATCTGGCCAAAAGTGGTACTGAAGCCTTTCCCACTCTCAGGCGAATCCAGCAGGGACCATAATATCTGAATAGACAAGAGTTTTGTCAACAACAAATCTATAACCAACACCTTTTTCACAAAGATAGAAATTCTGGTTTTATTCCTTGTTTTGTCGTTAATGATTTGAGAATCATAACAAGACCTTTTTTGTTCTACGGCCACATGGTACTTTACCAGTGGGATTAGATCGACGCGGTGAGTTCTGGCAACCCGGATCACAGACTTTCTGATTGGTGAAAAGGTGGAGGGCGGGACATCGAAATGAAAACAACAAGATTTCGGGGCTGTAAAACTAATTTTGAAATTCAAATATCTCTGAACTACTGTTATCAGTCACTGGAAAATATCATGTTTTATTGATGCTTTATAGAATAATAATGTAACGGTTTTATATAGCGCTTTTTTGGACACTCAAAGACGCTTTACATGTCATTATTCATTCACTCCATACATGGTGGTGATAAACTACTACTGCAGCCACAGCTGCCCTGGGGCACACTGACAGAAGTGAGGCAACCAGTATGTGCCATTGGCCCCTCCGAACACACACACACAGTTTCTTCCCCTCTGCTGTTGGACTCTTGAACACTTCTTAACCTGTCCCCCCGCCCTTTATAAAGTCACTTTACTGCCCATCATACGTCACTTTACTTCACTGTACTGCTGTCACCTTACATTGTGTGCACCATGTGCACTTGTATATTGTAAATAGTAACTGTAACTCTATTTAAAATTTACATTTATTCCTTAGAAGTGTTTTTTATTCTATACTTTTATTCTAAAAGTGCAGTGACAAATTTTACTTTACTATGACGTTGCTCTCGTCTCAATGTCACCGTTATTCTTCCCACTGGTACACACACCCGTATAGACACACACACACACACACGTATAACCACATACACATACATTTCATTTTCAACATGTTTTTTGTCCATTTCTGGGTCAGGGGGTGGCAATTAAAGCTGTCCCCCAATTAACAGCTTGGGTTTTTCAGTCGGAGCTTCAGGCAAAGTGGGGTTAAAGGTATGTGGTTTCCTCCAGGTGCTTCGGTTTCCCCTACCACTAGAACATTTACAATAGTTCCAGGTGAATGAGTTGTGAGTTGCGCGACTCTGGGGCAATCTGGAAAGGTGTGAACATTAACTGTCCAAACCAAGAAATTAAAAATAATGAAAATGTAACTAAAATCCATTGACCTCGTTCCTGACTCTCAAAACAGTTTAGTTTGATCACTAATTTTCACATGCATGTATTTTTGGCCCCTGTCACAGATACAGCCAAGTACCTTTCCAGACTTTAGATCTCAAACATGTAAAAGTGAAATTCTTACATTTTGCTTCTTTCTTTCAGGAAAAAAAAAAGTATTAGTTATGAAGTAAAAAGTACATACCAGCTTTACTCATTTCAAAAGAATACGAGAGTATGAGGACAATTACTTGTTCACAGAAAGGTTTAGCCACTAACAAGGCAGTTTAACCCAGTTGGTTTGTAAGTTTGGTAATAAGGTGTGGGCTTCATGTCAGACACTTCAACCCTTGGAAATAAAACATGATTATATATATACATATTTCAAAGCCTTAAAACAAATCCTTCATCCAGAGTAATACACTGAACTTTTGCACAAGGGCAGAAGAAGAGCCATCTGTGTCAAAAGTTAGGGCTAAGTGCAGTTGGTTGAGTAATTCTCCTTATCCCAAGGTCTTTTCTCTGTCTATAAAAGTTCTTCTAAAGTTGTGGTGATGGTCAAAATATACATGCAGGTTTCAAGTTATGTTTTAAGTGTGTGTGAAAATACTAAGGGCCATAGTGAAGGGGAACTATCCTTTCACTTCAGCTGTCATTGTTTTGCAAAGATGTTTTAGTTTTTGTTTACATTATTATATGTTATTATATGTTATCATTATATATGTACATAATTATCAATAAAACAACTTAATTTGAATCATCTTGTATTATTTTAAATGAATACTTTTATTCCTGGCCAACAACAGTATAATATAAGGCCTGTTTCTGTTCTTTAATGAAGGGGAAAAAACGCTTTGGATCAAAAGTAAGATATATAAGTCCCTCTGCTTTAGGATTATTATAAGCACTAATACTACTCTTCCTACTGACCAATGTATGTGTTAAGATAGCAAATGTGGTAGGTTAAAAATAATGTGTATGTCCAAATAAAGTCAAATAAGTTCTTGCGGGAAAATATAATTGTAACATTAGTGCAGCTGACAAAATAAAGTTAGAAAAAATGTTACGCATTATTATTCATATTATTATTATTATTATTAATCACTATTATCATTATTATTATTATTGTTATTATTATTATCATCATTATTTCTTCTTCATCATCATATATTTTTTTTTCCTATCAATGCATTCTTTACTGTTATTATAATCAAGTATAATAACTATAAAAACTTTATGATGATAACAGACTCTCACACACACACACACGGAACCGACGGAAGCGCCGTGCCTCTCATCCACACGGACATTCTCCACTGTAACACCGCAGCGCTGTCACCATAACAAATCCAAACCAGAGCTGAAAACTTCCCAATAAAATGTTTTCCCCTGTATTAGAGAATCACAGGCTGTGTACGGGCACCCAAAAAACCACAGCAGTTTTTTCTACAACAAGATAAGAACATTTCACCTTGAAATCTGAGCTCAAGGCTGCGGTGATGATCCACTGAAGTCATCCATCCACTGCCCGCTGTCTTTGCCTGTCTGGAGGAGGACACAGCTCAGGGAACAGGAGGAGAGGAGATAAATAGAGCCAAATATCTGAAGAGGGAAAAGCATGAGGCCGCATTCATTATGGTCTGGATTAAAAGTGTGGAATCCTGGTAAAAGCACGTGGTTGAATCGAGCTACAAATGCAGGTAAGGCGTTGCAAAGTTAGTTTATTTTTGTCTTTTCATTCAAACTAAAATTGTCAACAAAACATAGGCAAATGACTGAAAGGGTTTTGGCTGAGGTGAAAGTTATTGAAGCCAAACCCCATACAAATGAATTACAATTTAAAGTTAGACAGCACCAAGCTTACAGCAAAATGAGAATTTGGATAATGTTTTGTTTACAAAGTATATTCACAATAATTGCCACATACACATTTTCTCAAAAAAATAAATAAAACAATACATTCTAAACAAAACAACTGTATACTAGGAGAGTTTAGATATGATTAAGTACTAGTTCTTTATATGTGATTATAACTTTAAATATGAATTTTATTTAGAATGCTTTGACTGATGTGGCATTTTTTAATATGTCATCCAGACTGTTCCAAACATCTACTCCTCTAATGGAGACACATCGACCTTTGGTGTTTGTTCTATCGTTAAGTTGTAGAGAGTCTCTCTGGGTTTAATAGAAAGATATTCTACCTATTATGTTAAGCTGGTGAACATTCAGTAATAACGAAATAACGCAAATATATTATCCTGCACATGAACATATAGGTTCCTGTATATATACAATATGAAAGCTACAGAGAAGCTAAGATACGGTCCACCTTTTGAACTATATTGCTTCAAACTTTGAGACATATGCAGTCAGTTGTGCTTGAACGTTTACACACCCTGGGACACATTGACACATTCAAGTGATTTTTAATATGAATATAATAGCATACACTTGTTTCATTAGTGGTTGTGTTCAGCCATTCGTTTTCAAATAATGTTCTATTTTCAAATGGCAGACGCCAGAAACTACATCCCCCGGTTCTCAGTAGCTTTAACTTCTATGACGGCTTGAATTCTTCTGTGGTAGTTGTGAATGTGGTTCTTTATCCTCTCTCATGATACAGCTGCATTAGGCTTCACACATCCACTATCAGTGAGTGAATAGTAGTCTTTGCACATTTCATTCATAACATCCAAGATTTGGGAAAAACAATGACATTCCTGGCTGGCTGGAAGGTAATTAAAATAGATACAATACAATACAATACAATTTATTCTTGTATAGCCCTAGGTCACAACAGAAGTCATCTCAGAGGACTTAACAAAACCATTGAAATCACCAACACAGGTCAGAGAATCAACAGTTAAAACACATGAATCAATCAATCAATCAAAGTTTATTTGTATAGCACTTTACAACAACACCAGGAGGACCAAAGTGCTTCACAGAGAGATCAAAACAATTTAAAACACAAAATGAAAACAACCAAGACACAATTCAGTGTGCCCTAAGTATTAAAAGCAAGTTTAAAAAGATGAGTCTTTAATCTGGACTTAAAAAGGGACAGGTCCGTGAGAACACGCAGACTGAGTGGCAAGCTGTTCCACAGTTTAGGCGCTGCAACCCTGAAGGAACGTTCGCCCCACTGTTTGTAGTGGGACCTGGGCACATCCAGAACCATTTGATTGGCAGACCGGAGAGCTCTGCTGGGGCGATGTACGGTCAACAACTCAGTTAAATATAACGGAGCGAGACCATGAAGAGCTTTAAAAACAAGCATGAAGAATATAAAGCACACACAGAAGAAAATGTCCATACATGTTGTAGAATGCTAAAGTGTCCTGATCATCACCAATCCTTTCTGTTGGACACTAACTGTCACTAGTCGTTTACTTCCTTTCTATGCTACCCTGGGTATATTCTGGCCTAGGCTATTTTAACCCCCTTTAGGCCAGATTAACCCCCCTCTTGTTTTATCTAATAATAATAAAATATACGTTTTATTTTTTTTAAGACTTCTAAATTATTTAAAATCATTTAGAAGTAGTTTGTTAATTACTCTGTAGCCCTAATTAGTGTGATTTCTTTTCACACTTTGTTTGTGAGGTGATGAGTCAATGTATCTACTTACTTCTCACATGAAACTCTTATGGTGCATTCACACTGGATCATGCGTTGGGTCAACTTTCAATGCAAAGTCAATGGTGACATGTATGTGCATCTCGGGATGCACATACAAACTCACTCCAGAAGTAACAATCCGGCTTTAAACTTCTCCACAACAGTATCTCGGACCTGCCTGGTGTGTTCCTTTGTCTTCATGGTTCTCTCTGCGCTTTAAACAGAACCCTGAGACTATCAAAGAGCAGGTGCATTTATACGGAGACTTGATTACACACAGGTGCATTCTATTTATCATCATCAGTCATTTAGGACAACATTGGATCATTCAAAGATCCTCACTGAACTTCTGGAGTGAGTTTGCTGTACTGAAAGTAAAGGGGCCGAATAATATTGCACGCCCCACTTTTCAGTTTTTTATTTGTTAAAAAAGTTAAAATTATCCAATACATTTTGTTCCACTTCACGATTGTGTCCCACTTGTTGTTGATTCATGACAAAAAAATAAAATTGTATATCTTTATGTTTGAAGCCTGAAATGTGGCGAAATGTTGAAAGGTTCTTACTTTCGCAAGGCACTGTATGTTAGGATGTGATGGTGCGAGGCTTCGAAGCACCAGGTTTCCGCCTCTCACTTCTGTAGTTCCTGTGTGTGGAGGGAAGGCATAATACTGCTTTGTGCAACCCGGGTCTTTGAAATGTGCTATAAACAAAGATTACGTGTAAAGCACTTTCATTTGCCCTGTGTTTAAAGTGTGCACTTTCTTGTCCTTCATGATGCTTTTTAGTGACCAATATTCTCTTAACAAACCTAAGGCCATTCTGCAATTACACTGAGGTTCGAGGTGCAAAAGATTCTCCAAGATGTCTGTCCATTCAGATCAATGTCTGGCGTGTTCTGGCCACGCACTTGTTCTGGGTCTTTAATTTTTAAATTTTTTATTTCCTGATGTTGTGTTAATGTTAATCTTGAGGGATTTCATCTGCCACTTTTTCAGACTGAGGACTTTTCCTTTTCTATGTAAGTAACAGAATAATGATGAAATCAGCGGCTGATTTGGTTGTTTCAAATGTCGCCAAATGTTATCCACACTATATTTTTGATATGTCTGTGTTTGAAATCTTTTTTTCCAATCTAATCTAGTAATTTTAGTTTTTGAGTGATAACCTTTCCAGATACTTTAATTGACACTTTACTGTGAACATCTCAATTTTTTATGAATAAAGTCTCTCTGCTGCTTTTGTGATGGTCAAACCTCAAACACAAGGTTGTGTTTGCAAATCTGCAGAGGAGGCAGAAACAGCTTCCTCCATTCTAGAGTCTCACTGTGGGAGAAATACCATGAGAACAACTCTTCCAATCTGCCTTTAAACAGCGCCTCTTCTGTCATATCTGTTGGTAACAATGTATAAAACATTTCACATGGCTTCAAAGAGCTTTGCCGAGCATCTTACTGCTTTTGGTCTCTGTAAATGTAGACGTAGACGAGCACCACTGCAAACCAGAGCACCGTTAAAAGCCCTGATGCACTTTGTTGTTTTCCTGACCTGGGTTTAACTCTTACCAGTCAGCATTCTGTGCCAGGGTTTGCTGTGAAGTTCACAGATCTGTCCAGACTTGTCAGTCATTGTGTACACACAAAAACGTGCGTCTGTGTTCAGGTGTGCAGAGGCAGGCTGGAGTTCACCTGTCCTCCCCCTCACCTGGGCCCCAGGTTTGCATCGTGGGGAGTGGTCCAGCGGGTTTCTACACAGCACAACATCTCATCAAGGTACTTTCCACTCACCGTTTGTATGTGCGTGTGAGATAGTGTGTGTGTGAGATTGTGTGTGTCTGCCAATATGTGTGTGGTGAGAGATTGATTGCTTGCTTCATCATGACTGTTATCGTAAATATTGTTTTAGAATTATGCGATCACATCTCACTTTACCCGTTCTGCAAGGTTTGAATTAGGGATGTAAAAAACTATGAATTTTCATGACCGACCACCGAGCCTCATTAACCGGTTGAAACCGGTTAACCACGTAGTTTAAACTATTCCGCGTTCTTTGAAATAACAGCCATTTCGAGCCGCGTACTTCTCATAAGTGCAGCTATGCGTTCTAATGAATCAGAGCGGAGACAGCGGCGCCAAAAACCGCAACAGCTTCGGCACCTTTGCGCACAGAGAACTGATTTATAATTTTTTTAGCAGCAAACGACGGCTCGTTCACATGGTCAGAGCACCGAGTGACGAGCCGCGTCTCGCAGATCTCCGCTAAAGTTTTAATACAAGTGATGAGAGTGGAGCTGATCTAATGACAAGGACCATCAGCACAAACATGTTCCATGTGATTTGACTGAAGCTGCGTATTTTGCGAGGATCATTTGGACACCGTGACACAGAGGAGCGCGACAGACCGGTATGTGTGTGTGTACAATACATGTATGTATGTGTGAATGTGTGTGTAAATATAAGCTCCAATGTAGTTCTGACCCACACCAGTGTGCAACTATTAGGAGGTAAGAGGAGTGTGTGTGCGCGTGTGCGTGCATGTGTGCTTGCATATGTGGCGCGTGCGGCGTGAGAGTCGGCCCAGAGTTTACTGTTACATTGGCGCTCACAGCTAGAGACGGACCCGCTCGTCACATCGTGCAAATAGGGCTTAAAATAGCGTTATTAAGAGACCTCCCCTCTCCCCTTTTTCTTTTTTTTAACCGACAGCTTTGACCGGTTAACGCTGTGACGGTCAACCGCCGGTTAAACGGTCACCGATTTACATCCCTAGTTTGAATGTTTAGCGCCGCCTCCGAACTCGCTCAGAGGCTTCTCATTTCCACTAAGCGGCGGCTTCTAGTTGTATTTGCCATCTGATGCTAACATTAGCCATAGCGCAACTTAAGCGATACAACAATCACCTCTAACAAAATATATTACTGAAAGATAACCGCTAGTTTTGCGTCCGAATAAGCTAGCTATGTTTACCCGGGCTTGGTTTCTTCTTTGATCATTTTCTCGCTTTAGTTCCCTCTTCTCTTCTTCACTGAGTCGTTCGGGCTGTTTTGCTGTGTATGCAGTTACAGCAAGAGGAGTTATAGCCAATTCTGCTAACATGCTACTGTGTTTAGCAGCGCTGTAGAGGCTAGAGGACGCAGGCTTGTTCTGTGAGTGGAGCAGGATGATCTACTCAGCACTTTTATACGGCCTGAGTTCATACACAGCTGAACCAATGAGCTCAAGTTATCAATTAAATTACAAATTATAATACAACTTGTATGTAGTAATAAGCATTTTTATGAACTCATTAGAAACAAAATGGGTATTTAATACATTTGAGAGTTGACACCTCAGTTACATTGTTAGCATCTAATAACTTTTGTTCACATTAATTTTCTCAGGGCCCAATTAGGTTTGAATGACTGGAAAATTCTGATATTTTGGGAAAAGGATCATATGGGGTAGTGTTATATATAATAACAAAAAAATAACAAAAATAATAATGTTTTTTTTTATTTTTTTTTATTTTAATTAGGGATGCAAACACGTCTTGATATACTGTCCGCCTCTAGACCCAGGGGGGCCCACAATTTATCAAACCAAGACCTACTTTCACTGCAACCATTGAGCCGTCTTCCAACTCAGATTTATAGTGCGTTTCGATCAGGTTTAAATGAGCAGTTTAAAGATTTACTACATCACAAAGTCTGCCACAAAATGTACAATGAGCTCGTGTGTAGTTTATCTCACTTCTCACTAAAAACTGCTTAGTGCTCAATAGATTTGTCAGAAACGCTCACACCTTTTTTACTACGGCCTGAAGTCTGACAGTAGCAGAAAGGAAAGACCTGCGGAACCTGAAGGAGAGGTTCCGTCGATCTTTCCTTCTGTCAGACTGTATAACGAACAATGAAGACTGATGAACCCTGCCGACCTGACCTCACATGTCATGCATCTGTGCAATATATATATATTATATGTTGGAATGTACAATGGGCTATATGCACGGTGAGGTGTGACGTCATTTCCTGTAAACAATGAACGGCTCGTTTACTTCCTTTCTATGCTATCACTATGGCTTTGTGGTGAGTTGCAGTGACGCTTTTTAGTAATTAGATTGATACATTCAGCTGTGAGACTGACCCAAAAGTGTGGGCGTGCTTTCTCTCTGAGGAATAGCTTTGACTGTGGCCACTCAGAAATTTGTCAACTTTATAAAAGCACAATGACAGCACAATCAAAGAGAACTGCTGTGTCCCAAAAATGCCTTGCTTCCTCACAGTTTAATATCTGTTTGAGAATTATTTAGGAAACTCGTGTAAACATCTGCTGAACTTTATAACTAAAACGCGGAAGTGGTGCGTGCATAGAGCCCATATGGGACCACATGTGTCCGCTGTCACTTTGAGCCCTCGCGCTGCTAACACGCGCAGTAGCTTCATCACTGAACCCTCAGAGGTAACGAATTACTACAGGGGTCTACAACCTGTGGCTCGGGAGCTACCTGTAGCTCGCCAGCCCCTTACAAGTAGCTCCCCAAAGGATTTAGACATTTCAAAGAATCCTTGAATATATTATTGCATTATATTACACATTTAAAACATTGCCTAGGCTACACCTGTTATACATAGCTATAATTGTATAGCTATACAATTATAGCTATAATTTGCCATAGGCAAAATTAAAGTTGCTTTTAGATCATCCTCTTTTAGACCGCACTGCTTCTCTGTCTGGGACTTATCCCGTCTGGAGCTCACTGCGACACTTTAAACTCAACCTATAGACCTGGTTCAAAGCTAGTGTGCAATCATTAAGCAGATAAGTGTGTGAATAAGTGTGTGTTTTATCTGTTGGAAAGATTGTGTCTTTTTGTAGTTAAGGCTGCTACATCTTTCCTGTATTTCAAATCCAAACTCAGCCATTTTTTTTTTTTTTTCATTCTCTAAACCTGCTGTTACATTGGTGTCGATGTGTGTCACAGTAGTGTGGTGGTTCTCAAACCTGCCATTCCAGCTTTAAAAAGAGTAAAACTCCCTTTTATTAACAGCCTGTTTCCATCTCCTCAGACAAGTTAGATGGAAGGCTCAGGGACATGTTTGTTTTCTTTCCCACGAGCAGGCCTGTCATCACAAGTTGGCCACTTCATTCATGTCACTCAATGATAACAGTTATTAAATACATAATTAAGTGTAAATGTGTGTGTTGCGTTACATCAGAGCTATGATAGTAGTGATACACACCTCATTACTGACAATTACTATGGCAAGCCTTTAATATTGCTCCAGTTCATCCATCCATCCATCCATTTTCTACCCTTTAATCCATTTCTGGGTCAGAGTCTCATAGCACCAGCCCCAGTGCTCCAGTGCTCCAGTTCAATTCCCTTGAATTTACACACTCAACGTCTCTCTCTGGTCTCTCTCGCTGGTTTCTCTGGTCTCTCTCTGGTCTCTCTCTGGTCTCTCTCTGGTCTCTCTCTGGTCTCTCTGTTATGTCCGTAGGCTCCTGTCAGATCATTGAGGTCAGAAAATCAGCTTTTGCGGAATGTGCCCAGATCTCAAAGACCGGTTTTTGTTGTTATTGTCTTTTAAATCCAATTCTAAACTATTTTTTTACGCCTTGGCCTTTAACACCAACTGAGTTTTACTGTTTATAATTTACATGTCCATCCATCCATTTTCTTCCCCTTTGTCCATTTCTGGGTCAGGGGGGTGGCAGTCGGAGCTGCACCCAGTACACATAGCACCAGCCCCTCACTGATCCTCCTGCAGGTGGTGAGTCCACAGGAGCTAAGATCTTTCAGCTGGGGCTTCAGGCAAAGTGGGGTTAAGTGTCTTGCCCAAGGACACAACGACAGTAGTCATCAGTGGGAGTCCTGAAGTAGGTCTTGTCTTGGGCTCGAACCCATGACCTTCAGGCTCTAAGGCCAATGCACTACCAACTGAGCCACTGTCGCCCCGCCTTTAACACCAACTGAGTTTTACTGTGAGGGGGCGACAGTAGCTCAGTTGGTAGAGCATTGGCCTTTGAGCCTGAAGGTCGTGGGTTCGAGCCCACCTCAAGACCTACTTCACGACTCCCATTGATGACTGCTGTCGTTGTGTCCTTGGGCAAGACACTTAACCCCTCTGCCTGAAGCCCCCACTGAAAGATCTCAGCTCCTGTGGACTCACCACCTGCAGGAGGATCAGTGAGGGGCTGGTGCTCTGTGACTGGGTGCAGCTCTGACTGCCACCCCCCCGACCCAGAAATGGATTAAGGGGAAGAAAATGGATGGATGGATGGAGTTTTACTGTTTATAATTTATATCATATGTATTTTTGTAAATGTTTTGCTGTTTTCTTTTCTTTGTCTTTTGTACATGTGAGGCACTTTGGGAAGCTGGTGTTATTGTAAATGTGCTATACAAATAAAGCTGACATTGACTTAAGAAACAGAGGAAAGTTGATGAATTTGATGCTTATGGTCTTGCCCAAACCATAAAATAGTTTCCATAGTTCCCTGTTACTCGCCTAATGTGGCTAGGCGAGTAACAGCTCGGCTTGCTACTAATTTATATTAAACTGGACGTGAATCTTTGGGTAAGTTGAAAGTCGGACTCTTGTTAACCTCAGGAGTGATTCCCATAGTTCTGTCCCTCTCTCAGAGACAGAAGTTGTGACAAGCACTTCTGAAAGTAGATAATGCTAACGTAAATAGGCTCGCATTAGCTATTTTCAAAAGCTCGTTGACGAACTGTCCCGGACTACTTGCAGAGTGATCTGACTCGCGTGAATTACAAGCACAGATTCAATTCAATTCCACTGCTACTGTGAGCAGCCGTATAATAAAAGGAGATATGTAATTATCTTTTGCAAAGCTGTTCTCCGAAGCCTTGCTATTATGTAATTTATTTTGTGGTTGCAGGCACGCCCAGATGTCCAGGTGGATATTTACGAGCGGCTGCCTGTTCCCTTTGGCCTGGTCCGGTTTGGAGTGGCCCCAGATCATCCCGAAGTCAAGGTTTTCTCAAGCTACATTGACAATTTAAAATCCAAAATCAAAAAGTTGTATTTGCTTTGTCCAATACACTTAGAAAGAAAACATTACCAACATAGACTGAGCTTTTACACGTCTTACAACATTGTTCCTCATCAGTCACAGACCTGACGTTGTTTATAGATCCATCCACGCTAATATCAGACACTTCTGGCTCAAACATGTACAGTCCTTTCTGTCTGAAAGCTTCTGTCTCAGTTCTGTAACAGTACGATGTCATTGAACCACTACCAGGCTAATAAAAGTATTGCTTATAAATTAGTTAATGTAATCTAATAGGTAAACACATATTCTTTACAATCACATGTCTGTTTTTGCAGACGGTAATTTTCGTATTCATAAAAGACATAGCAATCCTACTCCTCACGCTGGTGGTAGCAGAGACAGGGATTAAGGCAAGTCAAGGCAGGTTTATTTGTGAAGCGCAGTTCATACACAAGGCAATGCAAAGTGCTTAACAAAACATCTGTCAGGGATGAAGCAGACAGAGACGGATCGTGGTGCGCCAAACTCTGGAAGTTTATTTAAGTTTCTCTCAAGTTCCAGTGGTTTCAATTGTTTCTTTCTCTCAGACAGAATAAAGGCAGTACACAGTTTATATAGTCATTGTCACGTCACACATCGAAAGACGTACGTGTCACACAGAGACAGTCACATCATAGTCAAAATAATCAGAGTCATAATCAGAGTCCTTGTACAGTCCTGCACGTAGGCCATATTGCTATCTAATACTAACACATCCATCCATCCATCCATCCATCTTCTACCCTTTAATCCATTTCTGGGTCAGGGGGGTGGCAATCAGAGATGCCACCCAAGTCTCATAGCACCAGCCCCTCACTGACCCTCTGCAGGTGGTGAGTCCACAGGAGGACGGCTGCTCTCTGAGTGTGAGCATAGCCTTGATCTTTCAACAAAACAAGATAACAATATTTTAATTATCAATTACCTTTGAGACAATTTTTACCACATATTATTATTATTACTATTAAAATCTACTGAAGATAATAGTTCACATTCTAAAACATGAATTGACAACATTAAAAGTGTCATGATTTTAAAGATGCAGTAAGAGATGTTGTTAGCTTAGCCGTAGAACCAACTGGAAACCACTCCCCTCTCCCCGTTTTCCCACAAGATTAAAAAAATGCGTCTTGAAAAATATAAATAAATATATTTAAGAGTAAAAAAAAAACGTATAATATTTCTTCATTAAATCTGATTATTGTAACTTACTGCCTGCTTCTATAAACGGGTCAGACTGAACCTGAGAGTTTAACCCACGCACCAACAAGCACTTTCTTTCACTCTGAATAAACAAATACTGCCTGCTTTGTTAGCTACATTTATCAGCAACACAATAGATTTGAAGCCTCTTTATTGTTAAAAATACATCAGCACTGAGCCGTTACTGGGATCGTGGTGGAACTGGTCTGTCTTGTCAAGTGTCTTAATAAACTGTGGAGCATCAAACGCAAAACGTTAACATATTTATAGACATGAGTATCGAGCTGACGGGTGTTTGATTTGACAGATAAGTATTGAGAAGTTGTTTTTGTATTCTAGTTTTAATATTCTCCACAAAGAAACATGAATTAGTGCCACACCTTGTTGGGTAAACAAGTAGTTTCTGGTATGTCTTTTCTCACAAAAATAATACTGCCGTGTAAAAAGCCATGTTTTGAGATCAAATAAAACTAATAATAATATATATAATTTAAAAAATAAATCCATCAATACAATTGTATGGCTGTGCGATATGGCTTTAAAGTCGATCTCGGTTTTATTGCCCACTTTGACAATTAATCATTTTAAATACATTTTTAGTCACCAAACTGTTTAATTATTTACAGGTGTAAATTAGCTCCTGCTAAAACAAAACATCTCTCCTTTTGACAAATGTTTAACCCCTGTGCTATGCTTGGGTCAAACTGACCCGCCACTTATGAAAAAAACTGTGAGCTGAATTTTGACGACTTCTCATAACTTGACCAGCCCTGGGACTTTTAGACCCTAATTTAGGGCATTATTCTTCTACTTTTGGCAGGTTACTTTGAACCAGGGGTCGCACAAGTGTATTTGTTTGCAGTAGTTTCCGGGGATAATTTATCTTGTCAATATATCGAGATAAATATTGTGTATCGAGCTATAGCAATAAAAAGATTTGTTTTTTGCTCCCTATCCCAAATTGTGAAACATCCTTTTATCTAATAACTAATCAACTTGAACGGACTCAATGTTTTATTTCAATGTATTGTTTCGTAGAACGTCATCAACACGTTCACGCAGACCGCCAGTCAGTCTCGCTGTGGTTTCTACGGCAACGTGAACGTGGGAAAAGACGTCTCTATGGATGAGCTGCAGCAGGCCTACCACGCCGTTGTACTGGTAACACAATATATAATAACACAATGTAATCTTTTGCATACTAGTAAGAAAGAGCTTTGTGAGCCACGATTGGCTGAGAGAGGGTGGTCCTCTCTTTTTCACTTTTCACTTTGTCACTGAAAAAGCATGCACAGGGAACATTCAGTGCTAACTAGCGGTCATCCGGGATTCATAGAACCATGGTTATATACGTAACCTTCGTTTAAGAGCTAGGAACTAATGACATGGATTTTATGACATCATTCTCTGGTTGGTGGGTCCTCATTTTGACTCATACTTGGTGACATTTTGACATGTACATTTATAGAAGGTAAGATATAAGATATGTTTATAAAATCATCTTGTGCATGATCCAGAGTCTCCATGGAAGGAAGACCAGACTTCTCACTGGTTTTAACAGAAGGGAGCACATCACCCCTGTATTAGTGTCCCTCCACTGGCTCCTTGTGCGTTTTGAAATTGATTTTAAGATTATACTGATCACTTTTAAAGCTTGTTTAGCTCTGTCACCCAGCTATATTTATGAACTTTCTACGCCCTACGATCCCTTTTCCCGCAGCCTTTGATCCTCGGGCAGGTCCCTGTTTTAAAGACCTCCAAAAGGGTCTATTGAAGATGCTAACCACACTCATGCTAGTAAATAAATGCTTTCTTTCAGAGCTATGGAGCAGAGGGCAACAGGACTATGGGAATACCCGGCGAGCACCTGGACGGAGTGTACTCGGCCAAGGACTTTGTCGGCTGGTACAACGGTTTACCGAGCTGTCGACAGGTACTGAAGTCCCTAGAAGACTGTGGAATAATGCAGAGTTTCAGTGTGTTATTATTGTTTGTGTTTGAAGCTGAACCCGGACCTGAGCTGTGACACCGCTGTCATTCTGGGACAAGGGAACGTTGCTCTGGACGTCGCCCGCATTCTGCTGGCTCCTGTTCCACTATTAAAGGTGAAAAAGGAGAAAGTGTCTGCTCAGAAGCCAGGGAAATGGACTAACCTGCGTGTGTGTATTGCTGAAGTATAAGCTCTCATAAAACTTGAGATACTCTCCTTGTCCAATTTGATTTGACTGTGGAATATCCAGTTTGTTTGGCGTAACTGGATCACACCATTTCTCTTTCATGTTACTACAGAAAATGGATTCTACTGTGACAAGGCCGTCAGATGCAATTATGAGCACTAATACATACTTCACATACATAATTCTGTTTCATTGTGATTGGTGTACAGTCCCCTGCAAATGTTTCATTATCCCGACCTATATGTACATAACTTTACACTATACACTATATATAGATTGATTGTATAGACAAGCATCTACAGCTAGCTAACAAAATAGCAGCTACTTATATTTTAGATTCTGTGTGTCTCTTACTGTCCTGCATGTGCACTGCAACATTGACATTTCCGCGTGGTTCTCTTATTGATTTGGTTTTGGTTTTCATGAGGAGCGAGGCCTGTCACCATAATGTATAAATCAACTTCGTACAATATGGTTCAATAACTAATGGATTGGACCGATATATATTTTCGGGGCTCAATCTCTAGGATCTGTTCATTTTCTTTACAATTAAGTGCATTCATCGTTGATGTTACAGAAAACCGACATCACTGCCCCAGCTCTGGAGGCTCTGGCCAAGAGCCAAGTGAGGCGGGTGCTGATCGTGGGCAGGAGAGGCCCCCTGCAGGTGGCGTGTACCATAAAGGTGAGAGAAATACAGCTTTTACCCAAAACTAGACCCAGACTATCACATTACTCACACTGGTGATTTTGAGCTCAGACAAAAACAGGTCAAACAATCTGTGAAAACAGTAGAACTCAACATGATTCATTTTATTGTGAAGCATGGGGCCTTCTGCTAATCTAAGGACATAACCTGGTTAGTGGTGTGATGGGAGACGTCTGGGAACAGGTGCCACAGTGGGGCGGCCGCGGCTGTAAAGTGGTCCAACTGTGGTTCTGTACTTCGGTAAGACACTTCACCCACATTAGAATGAGTCTGGTGTGTGTGTGAATGGTTGGTGTTGGTGGGAGGGGTCAATAGCACACAGTAAAAACGCCACAATTTAACTATTACTTCTACATTCATTGACATTTTACTGAAAATTACCGCAAATCTTCCCTTCTGTTGTGAAGAAAAGTGTAATATACAGTATATGCAATACATTTCTATGGTAAGCTACTATTGTGGTCACAGCTGCCCTAGGGTAGACTGATCCAGCTGGTAGCTCCTGGTGTTTCTGCAGTCTCCCATCACAGCACTAACCAAAGGTGCTGTTCGAAGAAACCCTTATATCAACACACACACAATTGCAATTCAAACTTGTAAAGCCTCTGGTGAAGTATGTTCCATCGGAGCATGTGTTGCACTTGGAACACTCTGTTGCTGAACCACCAGATACTGTTAGTGTAACTGTTAACTCAGGTACTTTTTCTTCTTCTTTATCTGTTGCCGGATCATAGTGGCAACCGTCTGAGCAGAGGCAGCCTGACCTCCCCCAAACTCTCTCTGCTTCACACAGATACAGGCGACCGGAGGCTCACTGAAGTATAGATATGCACATATTTTGATCATTTTTCTTATCACAGAAGTTGGGTGGCTGAGTTGTTAGCACTTTCTCTTTTTGGGGCGGCTGTAAAGTGCCAAACTGTGATTGTGTCCTTAGGCAAGACACTTCACCCACATTACCTAGAATGAGTGTGAGTGTGTGAATGGTTAGTGGTGGTGGGAGGGGCAGATGGCACGGACTGGTTGTCTCGCTTCTGTCAGTGTGTCCCCGGGCTAAAGTCGTAATTTTTCTCTTGACATAAATACTAAAACTTGGATTCAATCTTATCTCAAAGACGGACACCAATGTGTTGCTGTTTACAATATAAATTCCCCTTTAAGACCTTGCAGCATGGGAGTTCCAAAAGGGTTCATTCTGGGCCCCCTGCTGTCCACTCTTTACATAAATGATCTGCCGACTGTGTGTAAGAGGAAGATTGTAATGTATGCTGATGACACTGGTGTATGCTCATGGCAAAACTGCAAAGGAGGGCACAGAAAAACTGACCAATGAGATGAAAAAAGTTACACAGTGGCTTAAAAATTCTTGTCTCACTCTAAATCTAGACAAGACTGTATCTGTATTTTAAAATTCATAAAATTCCCAATTGTCCAAGCATTTTAATTGATGGACAAAAAATTGCAATTGCTGAATAGGTAAAGTATTTAGGAGTCATATTGGATCCAAAGTTGGGGTTTAAAAAAACACTTAAAGAAATTATCAAATGCAGTTAAATTTAACATGGTACAGTTTTGACAAATTGGAAATTCAGTGACAACAGAGGCCTCAGGAGCCTATCTTAATGCAATGATTGTTCCCCGTTTTCTTTATTGTATGACAAGTTGGTCTCAAGCTACAAAATCTATCCTGAGGCCACTTGAGTCACTATATAAAAACTCACTAAAAATCCACGATTACAAAAAGCAGACGTTTCCATCACTGTCATATTCTTACAAAACATAAAATCTTAATCTTTGATAACTTAATTAAACACACACATCTTTGCTTCCTGTATAAGATCCTTCATGACATCGCTGCTCCTCCACTGAAAGAGTTCATCTTTATAGGCTCAAACATAACAACACAAGCCACGAGATCCACCGAGCGCGGCGAGTGTAGGATCCTCAAACGCAGGACAGCTTTTGGAAACTGCTTTTTCCTGTGTGACCACTCTTCAGCACGACATCAGTGCTTTAAAATTCTGTGGCATTGAGAAAGTCCCCCTTCTACCCAGAGGAGGAGACCACGACCGACTCCTCAAACAGAGAGAGACCTACTGGATCTACACACTTCAGACCCTAGCCCCAAAAGGCTTGAATGACGACTTCAATTTAAGCATATTTTTATGAGAAATGTTTTTTGATATTGTCAAGTCATCAATATGTCATTTTGTACATAGTTTATTTTTCTTAATATAGTGATATGTGTATATGGTGAAATGTATATAGTACACTGGTGTTTTATTATTGCCTGGTCACTCTATGCGTACCCTATATATTCAAATCCTCTCCAGTTTTTCAGTTTTTCTATTTTTTCTATTTATTTTATTGAATCAATCGCACTATAAATAGTAGTAGTAGTAGTAGTAGTAATCTTTATTTATATACCGCCTTTTCACTGCAGATCTGAGTCTCAAAGCGGTTTACAACTGTTAATTATGGGCATTTGTCTCAAACTCCACACAGAGATGGGAGCGGGGTCGCCAGTACAGGAGGCGCATGCCAGACATGTCTATTGGACATATTTTTAGTGGTAGGGGAAACCGGAGTACCCGGAGGAAACCTACGCAGACACGGGGAGAACATGCAAACTCCACTCAGAAAGGCCCTGGTCCGACCGGGATTCGACCTTCTTGCTGAGAGGCGAGAGTGCTACCCACTCAGCCACCGTGCCGAGTGGGTAGGAAATAGGTATGTAGCACATATGTGTATATATTATTATATAAATATATATATATATATATATATATATATATATATATATATATATTGTATTCAGATTCAGATTCAGATTCATTTATTGGCCATGTGCAGTATAAAAACTACATTGGAATACATTTGCAAAAAAAAAGGTACTCTGTGTGCACCGACAGAATAAAAAGCACGATACAATGTAATATAAAATACACATACACTGAATATAAAATAATAAAAAAAACAGCTGACACTGTGGCACCGATCAACAAAACGATACAAGGGGTAAAAGCAGGAATTAAAGTGCTCTGTTTAGGCACCTAACAGCCTGTGGAAAGAAGCTGTTAGCATAGCGAGATGTCTTGCATCTCAGCGACTGATATCTTCTGCCAGAGGGAAGAAGCTGGAACATGGCTTTCCCAGGGTGGCCAGAAGAGTCATTGATGATTTTAAGAGCTTTGTTTAAAAGTCTGGATTTGTAAAGAACCTCCAGAACAGGAAGCTCACAGCCCACGGTCCTCTTTGCAGAGCGGAGCACCTTGTTTAAAGATCTCTTTTCTTTATCTGTGATGTTTCCAAACCACACAGACACAGAACCAACAAGTAAACTCTCAATGGTGCAGCGATAAAAGTTAAGCAGAATCTTAGAGTTAGTGATAAATTCTCTAAGTTTCCGCAAAAAGAAGAGCCGCTGACGTGCTTTCTTAACAACCCGGTTAGTATTTTTAACCCATTTCAGGTCGTTAGACAGAGTTAAACCCAGGAACTTGCACTCCTCTACGATCTGCACCTGGGAGTTGTCAATAACAACAGGAGTGTGAGAACTGCTACGACTGAAGTCAAAGACAAGTTCACATGTTTTTGCAGTGTTCAGCTGGAGATTGTTTACTTTACTCCACTGAAAAACATGTTCGATCTCTGCTCTATAAGAGGAATCATCATTGTCACTGATGAGACCGATGATGGTGGTGTCGTCAGCATATTTGATGATCAAGTTAGAGTCAGAGGAGGACACACAATCGTGAGTGTACAAAGTAAAAAGCAAAGGACTCAAAATACATCCCTGAGGAGAACCAGTGCTCACAGAAACAACATCAGAAAAACAGTCATTGATTTTTACTCTCTGAGATCTGTCAGTTAAAAAGCTAAAAATCCATTTACACATGGCAACATTCAGACCAAGGGACATTAGTTTTTCAACCAATATGCTTGGGACAAGACAATTAAAAGCAGAGCTATAATCAATGAACAGCATTCTCGCGACAGATTTACTAGTGTCCAAGTGACTGTAGAAAGAGTTCAGAGCAAAGGAGATGGCATCTTCCACACTCCTGTTCTGTCTGTAAGCAAACTGGAGCGGGTCAACACTCACAGGGATCTGGCTCTTAATGAAGTCCAGCACGAGCCGCTCAAAAGTCTTCATAAGAACAGACGTGAGAGCCACAGGGCGGTAGTCATTGAGACATGTCACTGGAGACTTCTTAGGAACTGGAATAATGGTGGACCTTTTAAAGCTCACCGGCACCGTACAGCTCCTGAGTGACAAGTTGAAGATGTCCGTTAAAACAGGGGCAAGTTGCTCGGAGCACAGTTTCAGGACGCGGGGAGGAATGCAGTCCGGGCCTGCGGCTTTCCGAGCTGTGGTCCTGGACAAGACCCGCCGTACTTCATCCTGAGTCACTGTGAAGGCACCCTGACATTCGGGGAAGACAAAAGGCAGGGGATCAGCAGATTCAAAGCGGCAGTAAAAGTCGTTGAGCTCGTTTGGCAGAGTTTGGCCAGCAGCAATTTTCCCTGCACTTGGTTTCCAGGACGTGATAAGACTGATCCCCTTCCACATGCGTCGGGGGTCCTCTTCCCCAAAGAAGCCCTCTAACCTGTCCCCATAGGAACGCTTAGCAGCTTTTATAGAGCGTTCCACAGCGTAGCAGGACAGCTTGTAAGCACCCTCATCACCGGATTGAAACGCCAGTGTCCGCTCATTCATTCTCACTTTGACGTCAGTGTTCATCCAACGTTTTTTGGCCGGAGTGTTCTTTGATAACTTTATAGGGGACACAACAGTCAATGCAAAATTGTATGTATCCTGTCACAGCCTCACAGAATTCATCAACATTCTCAGAGTTAAAAACAGACCAGTCTGTGGCATCAAAGCAGCCCTGCAGCTTCATGTTAGCCTCCTCAGACCTCCTCATTCTTTCTGACTGCTATCTTTGAATGTCTCCACCAAGTGGTTCATGTGTTTTTTGTGCATTGCTCTGTGGGTGTGGTGACTGTACACCCTTGGGTGCCTGCCCCACCCTATTTAAGAGGACTTCCTGGTGCTCTTTTCATGTTTGCTTGATGAAGGCATAACGCCGAAACGTCGCAATTTTTTATTTGCAAGTAAGACGTGTGCAGGATTCTTCTCTCTAATGTAATACCATAACATCAGCCTGCCCAGGGACTACGGGTGGAAATTAGCTCTTGAGCTATGACCTGGTACAATGCATCTTTCCCTTTGAGGTTAATGTTTATTGTACACTGTCCCTGTCATCGTAAATAAATATACTAAACTAAACTAAACTCTTGGAACACTCTGTTGCTGAACCATCAGATATTGTAACTGTTAACTCAGGTACTTTTTCTTCTTCATTATCTGTTACCGGATCATAGGGGCAACCGTCTGAGCAGAGGCAGCCAGACTTCCTCCAAACTCTCTGCTTCACACTCTCGCTTTTCTGCAAGAAGGTCCTGGGTTCGAATCCCAGTCTGAACAGAGTCTTTCTGAGTGGAGTTTGCATGTTCTCCCCGGCTGTGCCTGCGTAGGTTAAGTCCTACATTATCTGGATGGGTCAAATGCAAATATTGAGTTGCCCTACGGAGCTTTTACCTTTATGATTTTACACTGAGCCTAATGATTCAACCTGTGAACACGGCTTTCTCAATTCAATTATGTTTAAACTACAAATAATCTTGGTTACTTGTGAATTTCTCAAGGGCTTAGGTTTATTATTTCCTTAGCCATACCTGCATGTGAAAGTCAGATCCCCTCAGACCTCTGAAGGTAAGCAGGACAGACCCTGGTTAGTACTGTGATGGGAGACTTCTGGGAACACCAGTTGCAACTGTGATTGTGTCCTTAGGCAAGACACTTCACCCACATTACCTAGAATGAGTGTGAGTGTGTGAATGGTTAGTGGTGGTGGTGGGAGGGGCAGATGGCACGGACTGGTTGTCTTGCTTCTGTCAGTGTGTCCCCGGGCTACAGTTGTAGTTTATTATGTAGTAGCTATAAAATGGAAACTGAAACTAGAGCTTCGCGTGTTAATTTCCGTTACAGAATACCCACCTTTTTCTTCACACGGCTTTGAAACAGCCCCCGCTGCAGTGTCTCTGTTCTGTTCCACTCTGTTTCTCAACTTGTGTTTTCACCTGATACACTGTCTTCATGTTAACAAAAGGCCAAAGCAACTCTTAACGTTTTACTGTAGCATCGTTCCTTCTAAACCTATTTTTAACTGTTATGGGCCACGGCCTAAATGGAAAAGCCTGAATCAATAACATTAGGCACAAGGCAGAATATGAAACAAATCTGTTTAAAAATCTGCTGATCCCTTTTCACTATATATCATGTTTTTACTGCATGTACTTTCTTAAACTGGAGATTATCCTGGTTACAAATGATAATACAAACATTTTGCCAGAGTTCAAGCTTATAAATGATTATCTTTCAACAGGAATTTCCTAAGTGTTTGTCTCATTGTGCATCTGCCGTTACTGTGGTCACAGACGCATCAGACACAAACATTTTTTATATGAAGATAGTCTTAAGTCATTCCTGTCTCACTGTGAGAGTTATTTTTTTACAGTCGACTGAACACTAGACCTCCCAGAGCAGTCAGTTTGACTTATTTTATTTTTTGAAGCGTAATTACTCAGCTCATGTTCATTCTTGTTCTTCATAACTTTTTAGTTCTTTGTGTAGTTTATTCATCTGTCATTGTTTTTCTGCAATTTCATATTATTTATTAAATGTGTGTTGTTTTACCATTAACTCAAAAAACTGTTGGACCGGCTTCCCCATTATACTCACAGGTTCCCCCTACTGTCAGTAGAAGGAACTGCATTTTACCTGGCCCCACCCAAATACGCACACAATTACTCGAAGGTGCTTACCAAAACAAAAATATTAACTTATAGCATATTTGAATTCTCTTAATAGAAAAAAAAGGCCTTTACAGGAGGATACACGGATTTGGGAATTATCTGTTTTCACCAAGATGTTTTTTCGCTCCCAGGAAATAAGGGAAATGGTGAACCTTCCCGGGACCAAACCTGAAATGGTGGCAGCGGATTTTGAGGGCATCGCTGACGCACTCACAGGTGACACGTCTCAAATGCAACTGTGAAAGAACCGATATCAAGTTGAACGTAATTTTTACTTTTACCAACGTTTGTACAGAGGATGTGGACTTATTTTCAGATGGTCACGATCACAAACAGTGGATCAGAACTGCTACAGAGATATAATGCTAATAAAGTTGAAACCATGAACTAAAAATACAATACAATAGTAAGCCATTTAAAAAACGTTCTCTATTTCATTGCCTGATCCGAATAGTAGTATATTTTTCGAATTATAAATCACAGTTTTTGTCATAGTTAGGTCGAGGGTGCGATTTATGCGTGAATCTATTACATTTTGTGTTTTTTTACCGTAAAATATCAAATAATATCCCGGGCTATTAAGTTGAGCAATTAAGCTATTAAGAAGATCCCAAAGAATTAAGACCTATACCGGTACTGAACAACATTGTGCAATTTAGGACTGTAGCTTTTGTTGTATTGTAGAAATAGACTTTTTTTGATTACCTACATTTTTGCTTCTACTATATATTAAAACTGAATCTCACAGATAATTGACAGTGAAATTGACTCAAGATGAAATGTCTATTTCTTGGTGTTAGATTTGATCAAATAAATGTTCCCAAAAATTGTGACAAGGTCCACAGCCTTGGTGTTTCAGCGGGGGCTTCAGGCAATGTGGGGTTAAGTGTCTTGCCCAAGGACACAACGACAGCAGAGTGGGAGCAGCTGGAGTAGGTCGAACCCACGACCTTCCGGACCAAAGGCAGATGCTCTACCAACTGAGCTACTGTCGCCCCATGTGTAATAGATCACATGTTTTCTATTAAAGGTAAATAGGAGGATTTTCCCAAGCACGTATCACCAGAATGATTGACAGTTTGGAGGACCAATAGTGTTGATGATCAACCAGGAAGTAGAAAATTCTCCTATATACCTTTAAGATTCATAGAAATAGAAGCAAATGGAACAATAAAAAGTTAGACTGAGCTTTAATGCATCTGGCCACAGTGACAGTCATCGATAACCAGAACAGAACCGCAGACTTCTATTGAGTAAAATTTGGAATGTGGTTTAAACAGAGACGCTGACAGGGAATAAGCACGACTTCAGAGTATCAGTACTTCTTTTTCATTTAGACATAGACAGAATAAAAGTCTCACAAACAAAAACTCTAGTGTCTGTCAAAGGAATGTTTTTTTCACATGTTTTGATGTTGGGGTTTCCAGATTACAACAAAAACATATCCGTAGATCCCTAAAATATATAGTAACAGAACTCCAGTAGCATTCTCTCATCTGTGGCAGGGAGTAGTTTAAATATTATTGTTATTTGCAGTAATTTACAAACAGAATTTATGGTCAAAATGAGTTACTGTGACAGGCCTATCATGACGGGAAAGCATTGCAGCATGTTCACTTCCACATTGTGTGCGTGTGCGTGTGCGTGCGTCTGCGTGTGTTTCTCCCCGTGTGTGTGTCTGCGTGTTTGTCTCTGCGTGTTTATTTGTGTGTGTGTGTGTGTGTGTCTCTGCGTGTTTATTTGTGTGTGTGTGTCTCTGCGTGTTTATTTGTGTGTGTGTGTCCCAGCATGTGCGTGTCTCCGCGTGTGTGTCTCTGTGCGTATGTCTGTGTGTGTGTGTCCCAGCATGTGTGTGTCTCTGCGTGTGTATATTTGTGCGTGTGTCTCAGCGTGTGTGTCTCTGCATGTGTGTGTCACTCTGCACTGATCCTTATCAAAACACCAAGAGACTTTGACATGTGAAATGAAGCTTTCTATTTTTGAATATGAATTACAAATGATTAGATATTTTGTAATGACCGTGTTGTCTTTATTCACAGGTTTAGTGTTTACCCTATTTAGATTATTGTGTTATAAATTGTGATATTGTCAAACAGTCTTGAGCTCCACTGGTCTAACCTCATGTCTCCTCAGCCGTGGCCCGACCGAGGAAGCGTCTGACGGAGCTGATCCTAAAGACGGCCCTGGAGGCTCCCGGGGAGAAGGAGCAGGAGAGGAGGAGGGCGGCCCTCAGGAGCTGGGGCTTCAGGTTCTACAGGAGCCCTCTGGAGGTGACCGCAGACCCCAGTGGAACCAGGGTGGGTGCCCTCACACTGGCCGTCAACAGACTGGAGGTACGCAGCTCATCTGGTGTCATAAAGCGTCGATATAAGGACTTTTATTGATAAGTGTCAATCTGTCCATGGGATTTAAACAGACTTTTGACTCCCTGCATTTGTATTCAGCTAAAAACGTTTCCTTCCTGGTCCCTCCTTTTTATTTGTAGGAGACACGTTTGGGCACTGTGTGAATGAATTAATGCATGTTGTGTCTGTGTGTGTGCGTGAGAGCGTTTGTGTGTCATAATCAGAATCATTTTTATTGTCATGTAAATAACAGGAAGTCACAGACTAGGAAATTCCTCTGGCTCTTGGTGAGTTTTAAAACATGGACACCATCTACCCCTTAATCCATTTCTGGTCAGAGATGCCACCCAAGTCACATAGCACCAGCCCCTCACTGATCCTCTGTAGGTGGTGAGTCCACAGGAGAATGGCTGCTCTGTAAGTGTGAGCATAGCCTTGATCTTTCAGTGGGGGCTTTGGGCAATGTCTGGTTAAGTGTCTTGCCCAAGGACACAACGACAGCAGACATCAGTGGGAGTCGGTGGAGAAGGTGTCGGGGTGGGAATTGAACCCACGACTTTCAAGCCTAGAGGCCAGAAAGAGAAAAGAGAATAATCTGGGCATTTTTTTAACGTTGGATCTTCATTGGAAACAAATATATTTGAAGACAGTGTATTTAAGCATCATATTGAATTAAACAAACAGGTACCATTCAAATACACGTGAATATCCAGGTCATTCCTCAATCACACCACTGCTACTGAGACCACGCCCCCTACTGGCTCTGTGTCTCCATCACATGTACAGAAGAGTCTGGAGACACTTTTTTACTATTGAAGGCCCGAATCTTAGCCTGTGGACTAAATAAAGAATTAACGGAAAAAATATTGATAATAGGTTTAATCTCATTTATCTCGTAGCTAGCAAGCTCATATGCTGGTTTATTCAATCTAATTTAAAGATCCCGGGTGGATCATCAAGACTATTGGTCCTCCCAATTGTCATTAATTCTGGTGATACATGCTTGTCAAATAAGACTAATAAGACTGTCCTAAAATTAGGGAAAATCCTCCTATTTACCTTAAACTTTACACATACAGTAAGACAAAGGCTCTCTATACCTTGTGCCCCCTGCAGTAGGTTTGTAGGCTCATTCCACTTTGTTCTTCTTTGTTCTTCCATGAGACAAGTGGTTGTTCAATAAAATAATGAAAACTTGTTCTGTTCAATGTTCAAATAAATCTGCCTTTGTGAATGTCTTACGCTCAGGGCTCTGCGGAGGCGGCCCGGGCCGTGCTGACCGGGGAGCAGGAGGTGGTGCCCTGTGGACTGGTCATTAGCAGCATCGGCTACAAGAGTCTGCCCATGGATCCCAAGCTGCCCTTTGACCCCAGCAGAGCGGTGGTCCCCAACAGTATGGGCCGGGTCACAGAGGCACCAGGTCAGCACTGAACTCACAGCAACAGGGACATCTAGTGGTGTAAGATGAGCACAACAGCTGAGGGAACACACAATGGAGTCAGAATATATGAGAGCTGAAGTGTATTCACAAATCAGGGAGGTCAAAGTCAAATTCATCAAAGGGCAACAAAACCACAAACCGAGTGCCAGACTGGGATAATACTTATAAAAACGTGTTAAAATGATTGCATAAAACCTATTGAACCAAGACCCAATAAGATGTACCATATTTTTGAATGGCTCTGTCAGAAATTTCTAGTGAAAACTTTTTCCAACAGGCTCAAAAACAAAAACAAACTTGCTTCAAAGATAAAACACGTGTCCTGAACATTAAATAAATAATAATTTTCTTATGGCTCTGTGCGGACGGTACTTATATATACTTATACAAATATCATCAAATTAGGGTTTCGTTCGGGCCTGAAAAATCAAGCCTGACCCGGCCCGAGCCCGCTAATTCTAAGCCCGAGCCCGTAGAAGCCTGATCAATTAACGCTGTATAATAGGCCCGAGCCCGACAGAAGCCCGACACATCTGATTTCCCTTGTTGCACGCACTCACCTTCCAAATGCAAGTTTAGCCTAGCCTGGTCGTACCACACCATAGTACAAATTAAATTTTGTACTAACTCCGTTTACAGGTGGGAGGGGTTAACTCCTTTTGCAGATTGAAACGATTGGATCTGAGTTTACCGTGACTTATGTAGTGCGCCTGAGTCTGTTGTTAGCATTTAGCTCCTTTGCCGCTAACGGAGCCCGTGGGAAGTAGCGGCAATATTTTTTCCAGCGATTACATTTGCTAAACATTACCCTCCGGCTTCAATTTCTTGATAGAACCAGACCGGATTACTTTACTATCGCATTTTTTGCTAATGCCAAACTACAACCTTCCCGTTCGACGCAAACTCTTTGCATCACCCATAACTAACTACAACACCTGCTTTCTGCGCTCTCTGAATGGTCGGTCGAAATTCAACCGATTGTAATCGCTAACATAGGGACTAGACCCAGACGTTACATGCAGTGAAATTATGTTTGAACGGAGTGTACGGATGGCTAAGGCCAGGCTAAGTTTAGCCACTTCTGAATGTGTTTTGTACGTCCACCTGATCCATTTCTATTAATGTTCTATGTGTTCGCTGTTCACCATAGCATTCAACAGGAAAAACAGGGATGATGCGTTCACGGCTTGCTGTTACGGTGTTATAAATATATTAACTTTTTTAATAACTTGTTGTCAATCAACGGACATTATTATTAATAAATACATATATGCATATCATTATGTATAAAAATAATGAAAAAATAATAATAATGATAACAAATAAAAAATAAAAAATAAAGAAAAGAAGCCCGGCACGGCTCGACAGCTGAGCGCTGAAATGAGGCCCTGCTCGGGCTCGGGCTGAAAAGCGACACATCAAATATTTTGACTTTGACACCCACGACCTAAATGATAGATAAATACTTTATTGATCCACAAGGAAATTGTGCGTCAATCCCTTGCTCACATTCACACAAACACAGCAGGATAAATTAAACTAGAAAAACAGCATTAAATATTAGCAATAAATACATATCTTAGAAGTTAACTTACTTCTCTGGCTTCAGCTAATCAAAAGACAACAGAAGACCAGCATGACACTAGAGAGAAAGACAGGAGGACCAGCATAACACTAGAGCAGGGGTGCTCAATACGTCGATCGCGATCTACCAGTCGATCGCAAAGGTAGTATTGGTAGATCGCATTAAATAAATAAAAAATTACACATTCTAAACTAATATATACAAAAAACTCCGGGCAAAGTGGAGATTTTTGAAAACTCCGTTAATGCATTTGTGTGTAGACAGAGATAACCAGAGTTTTGCGTTCTCGCACGCCACAGTACCCCCCTAAATTCCTCTGATCACAAGTTGTCTTTATTCAAGTTGTCTTTATTGTCCCACTAGGGGAAATTGGTTTTGCAGCATAAATCATCTAAAAAAAACAGGCAGGTACAGTAAAATCACAACATTGAGAAAACAAGAACAAAAGAGAATGTCACAAAAACAAAATTTCAGCGCAAAGGTTTGTAAAAGTGCTATGTGCTGTTAAGGTGCTTCACAGCTGTTGGGATAAATGTAGTTCCCAACCGTTTTGTCCTACACCCAAGAGCCCTATAGCGTCGTCCTGAGGGTAAAAGTTCAAACTGCTCCCTCAGGGGGTGGTCCAAAGAACCAATGATAGAATTGGCCTTCCTCAGCACCTGCTTACTGTACAGGTCTTTGGGCTGAGCCTGTGGTCTCCCTGACACCTTACTAGCCACTTTAACCAGACTGCCAAGTCTGTTTTTGTTTGCTTGGGATAGGCTTCCAAACCATGCAGTGATACAAAATGTAAACACAGATTCAATAAAAGAACGATAAAACAAGGTCATCATTTCTGACGACACCTTAAAAGTGTTCATGCGCCTAAGAAAGTACATTCTCTGCTGCACTTTCTTACAGACTGCATCGACCAAGGGTTCAAAGCCCAGCCTGTGGTCCACAATAACCCCCAGATACCTGTACTGCTCCACAAGCATGGATCATACTACCTTAAAAACTGTTCGCTGTGAGATGCTCGCAGCAGCGAACATCCTCCACATCAGAGGGGAGCAAAGTGATCGCGGGGACTCACGCTCGAAAACAACCAAACCAGGACTAAACCAGGACTAAACCAGGACTAAACCAGGGCTGAGGACGGGGTCAGTGGTTGTAAACATACGTCTTTACTCTGAGTGTCTTCTATGACTGTAAAAGTGCCGTTACCGGCGTCTGCATCAAAGCTCCGCCCACTTCTGTGTTTTTCCCCAACGCAGGACAGGACGTAAGAGACGCACATGTTTGGAATGTTACGAATGTGATTGATAACGCAGATGTGTGGATGCAAATTATTTTATAAACTGAGGAGGGGAAATATTTGGATTTAAAAAAAACAGGCATGGCACATGGACATGGCACCACAGTCAAATGACATCTGTGTTTTACTCAGTAAAGTTTTACTGACACTTAGGTGACTGCACATGCGCAAACAACCGCGCTCAGTGCAGGAAAGCTAAACCACGACAAACTTGTCAGCGAGTTACCACCAATTTTCAGGACTATGCATCCCTGGCCGATTCAATTCAGTGCAAGTCATCAGAGTAAACTCGGGTAATGACAAAAAATGTACATAGGTAATTGTGTTGTGTTGTGCTATATTGGCTCATGCGGTTTTGCATGTACATAAACATACATTGTAGATATAAAGAATATTTTTTGAAATAAATATATGATTTGCATTTTTGTAGTAGGTAGATCATTTTGACTTGATCCTTTTATAAGTAGCTCGCATGCTGAAAAAGTGTGAGCACCCCTGCACTAGAGTAAGGAGAGGACCGGCATAATAATAATGCATCGGTTTTAATTAGCGCTTTTCTGGACACTCAAAGACGCTTTACATGTCATTATTCGTTCACTCCATACACTGTGGTGATAAACTACTACTGTAGCCACAGCTGCCCTGGGGCACACTGACAGAAGCGAGGCAACCAGTATGTGCCATCGGCCCCTCCGACCACCACCAACCATTCACACACACACCATACTCATTCTAGGCAATGCGGGTGAAGTGTCTTGCCTAAGGACACAACGGCAGTTTGGCACTTTACAGCCGCCCCGCTGTGGCTGGTGTTCCCAGAGTTTAAGTGTCTTGCCAAGGACACAACGACAGCAGATATCAGTGGGGGTCAATGGTGAAGGTCGGGCTTGAATCCATGACCCTCTGGCTCAAAGGCCAATGCTCTACCAACTGAGCTACTGTCGCCACACAACACCAGAGTAAAAGACAGGAGAGGACCGGCATAACACGAGACAAAAGATGGAGAAATTATATCCAGTCATTTCAGTCAATTCATATTTCACAGATAAAACATTTATGAACTTTACCAACATTTATGGAAACTGATCCTCCGCCCCTTATGGACCACTGACTCTTTAAGTTTTTAATCATTGCATTTCTTGTGTTTTGAACTGTTTGGCAATTTTGACAGTTTTGTAAAGTCCTCTGAGATAACTACAGTTGTGATATAGAACAATACAAAAATATATTGAATTGAATGGATTGTGCCCAGGCCTGTACGTGAGCGGCTGGCTGAAGACGGGTCCCACTGGGGTCATCGCCACCACCATGAACAGCAGCTTCGACACGGCTCGCTCTCTGCTGGAGGACATGGGCTCCGGGGCCCTGGACCTCTCTGCTCACAAGGCTGGCTCCCACAGCATCACATCCCTGCTGGAGAACAGAGGTGAGGCTCAATATACACTGTGTATGTATGTGGAGGTAGATGTGGTGTCCATGTTTTATGATTTTGATTTTCCTTTACAAATCATTGGTTGTTTAGACAAGAAATTTCAGTTTAATGTATCATTATTAAAGTATCATTATGTAAGATTTTCATGTCAAGTCATCATTAAAGGGCCCTAATCTGTCAAAAGGCATTAACAAACCATGCTCTTCTCAAATACTTCTTTAACTGTAACAGTAGTTTAGGTCTCGTTTATACGGAGGCGCTGCGCAGACGTTGCCAAGCTATGAACACACTGCACAAAAAGGCCTTTCTAAAAATAAGAAAAAACAACTTATTTCAAAGAAAAAAATACTTATTTCAAATGAAATAATCTGCCAGTGCAGTAAGAAAATTTTACTTATCAAGTTTTCTTAAAATACATCTTGTTTTGAGCAGAAAACACTAGTTTAAGCACCTTATGCTAAATTTTTTTAGCTTATTTTGAGCAACTTCATTCTTGATTTAAGTAAGAAATACTTGATTCTCATTAAAATCTGCTTATTTCTAGCAATTAAAAGTGCATATTTCTAGCAATTAAAAGTGCTTATCTTAAGTCATTTTTTCTTGGATAGATTTCTTGATTTAAGAAGACCTTAATTCAAGCATTGGTCATAAACGTATGAAATGACATAATTCAATCATTTTGAAGCAGTATTTATTGAACTTTATTCAAACAAAGTACTACTGGAAATAGAAACAAAGTAGACATAGCATTTGAAGAAAAACAATTAAACTAAATCTGTTTTGAGTAAAACCACAGAATAACTGGTTGCTAGGGGTGGGCAAATATATCATACATCGTCTACATTACATTAAGATGGATTGTAAAAGAAATGTGATTAGAATTTTTGATCTTTGAGTCCAATACACACTTTTTTAATTTTCACAATAATATGGGAATTTGGCACTTTCAAAAAAAATGTTTTTTTATACTGTCCACCTTTATTTGTATAGCATTGAAGTAACCCAACATAGTGCCATTATAGAACAAAGCATAAAATTAACAAAATAAAGGAAAAAAATACCTCAGCCAACGAAGCAATTCCAGTCCACCATGGCCTTTTTTAGGCAGGTTTAGCATCCCTCTCATGCAACGCATCTAGGAGCACTTTCTGTTTCTGCAGAAACGACCAGGCTCCTTATGCAAATTTCACAGCGTTCATACGAGGATAAAAAAACGATGTTGTTTTTTATCGCCCGGCCAGTAGTGGACAGAGGAACTTTTCAACACAGCACACACGAGCCCCAGCCCCCCCAACAGTATACTCACTTCCTCTGCAAGACGTGAAAACATGTACCAACATCATTCTGCATTTTAACTGCAGCTGCGAAAATGGAAACTGAAACTAGAGCTTTGCGTGGTTTTGTTTGGACGAATGAAGGAGTGAAATTCTCCTCTGTGTAGCGCTCGAAGCACATTTATCTAGTTAGTGTACCCGCCGCCATTGTTGCTTACGTTTGTTCTTGGCTAATGCACATGTCCAAATGTTCGTGCAGGAAGCAGTGGGGAGGTGGGGCCGAGCCCCGGCGACCCAAGATGGCGCCGTATGCAAATGAATGGTTTGTGCTCAGTTGAGCATGTGTCGGCCCGGTCGCTGACATATTAGCGGACCATAATATTATATATATATAACCATATTACTCGCTATATTTGGGCATCGTCTGGTCCTCCCGGTTCTGCGCAGTGGATATTCTCCCATGATGCATTGCGCCAAATACGTGTGTGTGGTTCTCATGCACGTGCACAGGGGGATGGCCGCGCTCTGACCAATCAGCGCTGCTGATCAGAGCGGGAGCCAGACGAAAAGAGTTTCTGCCACTAAAGTGTGGATTTAAAGAAAACCGAAGGATTTAAGAAGAAAAAACTTTCAGGATGACAAGGGACACTATAATCCCCACAAAATCCGACCTTTATTAAAGCTGTAGGTTCTCTGTCGGCTGAGGTCGCGCTGTTTTAATTTACATTGAGTTCAATGGGAAATTTTTCTGGGTAGCCCACGTGAAGTTAGTCAGTTAGTTAATCATTGTTATAATGATGATAATGATATTTGTCTCACAGCTTAAAATGGACTGTAAACAAAAATATCAATTTGCAAGTAATAGTCTATCTGAATGCAAATGTAACGTTAGCTGGACACTTCATTGACAGAAATAGAGTTGTACATATTTGACCTATAACGTACATAATTTTAGTGGTAGAGGAAACCAGAGCACCTTGAGGAAACCGAAGGAAAGAACTGCATGTTTTGCCTATCTCCCCTCGGGAAAAGCCCTGTTCTGACCCACATTCGAACCCAAGACCTTGTATCTGAGAAGTGATGTGCTAACCACTCAGCCACCATGTCACCCGTGTCGTGAAAAGCAGTGATCTTTCTTTAGTGCCACTGGCCGATTTTACGTCAGACAATAATTCCGCGGACCGGCATCAAAATGAACCATTCAGCGCTACATATCACGTGTCAAAGATGTAGGGAAAGAATTTTATCATTTGTCAAAATAAGAGAATATTTAGACTCAAATAATAATTAAAGCCGCAAGCGGCGTCAAACGACCCTTGCCGCACCCCGCAAAGGAGGTGGCGCTGACACGCCATCTTCCTACAGCCCTAATGGGAGCAACACTGTGCATAATGAATGCCTATGATCAGTGATTGTGTGTGTCTTTGATTTTGCCATTGACACATAATTGATTTTTTGAATCAGGATGGCAAAACAGAATTATGTGCAAAATTTCAAACATTTTGAGGAAACTGACTATCTTTCTGCCCATGCAAAACTTAACTCAGACTGTAGGGGGCGCTAATGCAGAAATTTAATGATTTAATGAGGTGGGGATACATTGCTGGAAGTAGTAAATACTGTTTGGTTGCCAACAATGCCACCCCGAAGGGAAAATAAAAAGGTTAGGGCTAACACAGGTAAGTAACTGAGGGGCAGAGACAAAATTAGAAAAAGGTTTACAGATTTTATTTGGTTATTTTAACATTCAAAAAAGTTTATCATTGAAATGTAGTAGACAGTACACAAACAAACACAATGACCCCAGATCAACTCGTTTTAATGTGCGTTTGTGCTTCAATGTGCGGTTGTGCAAAATCACAGCAGCTGACATAAAGTTACGAATATCTCCTTTAACCTGGCAACAAAATGGACCTCAAGAAAAACATGAGCCACAGTAGCGAAGGGAAAAGAGGAGAGACTTGAGAAGAGTGGACCTAAAAAAAGTAATTTATCAGTGTTTGGGCACGTGCCGTCGCGTGCAGGTCACAATCTCCGGGTTGCGCAATAGGCCCTTACTCCAGTTGTGGCTCGGGCCTTAATATGGAAATTATGTAGTCTTTCCTTGGCGGCCTGATTCAAGTGTCACACGGCCCAGTACCGGAGAACCCTGATGTAGAGAATATTTTCTTTGGAATTTTTGAAACCTGGAATAATATTTATATAAAGTATAGAATATTTAGTATGTGTATATAAATGAATAATGGAATGAGCAACACTCCCATCCAGTGGTGGAATAAAATCCTTTTATTCTAGAAGACAGAAAACGGCTCTGTCATAGTCTCCATAGTCTTATTATTGTGGATGGCGCTAAAAAACAATTATAAGTATGTAGTAGGAGAGGGAGCAATAATATAACATTGACAACTCAAAGAAGGTGATCCATGCCTGGAATTTGCAAAGATCCATGGGAAACTCGCCTGTATTTGGGCATCGTCTGGTACTCCCGGTTCTGCGCAGTGGATGATCTCCCCTGATATCTTGCACCAAATACGCGTGTGTGGCTGTCATGCACGTGCACAGAGGGGCTCAGCCGCGCTTTGACCAATCAGAGATGCTCATCAGAACGGGAGTTAGAACGGGAGCCAGACGGGCAGGGTTTGTGGCACTAAAGTGTGGGTTTAAAAGAAAACCGAAAGATTTAAGAAGAAAAAAAAGTGACACTAAAATACCCACAAAATCCGACTTTTATGAAAACTGTAGGTTCTCTGTCAGCTGAGGTCGAGCTGTTTTAGTTTACATTGAGATCGCAGTACCGCGAGAATCCCCCGAGCGCGTGGGTCCTTCAGCTCCAAGCTGCAATACCCTATCCAACTATTAAAATTGATCCATGGGTGGGGGTTAGAGCGAGTAGAGAATTCACACCTTTTTCTTCACGCGGGTGTGAAAGAGCGCCCCTCTGAGCAGCGTATCTGAGCTGTCCCACTCTGAGGCTGGATCTGAACACTTCCGTTTTCACCTCCCTGGAACACTTTCTCCGTATGAAGGGGGGTAGCAACCGTCATCCAACTATAGCGTTTTACTGCTGTAGCGTCTCCGTGTAAAAGGGGCCCCAGAGATATTTGAATTTCAACATTATTTTTACAGCTCCTAATTCTTGTTATTGTTTTCATTTCGATGTCCCGCCCTCCATTGTTTCACCAATCAGAAAGTCTGTGATCTGGGCGCCAGAACTCACCGCGTCAAGCTAATCTCACTGGAAAAGTTCCGTGTTCCCACAGAACTAAGAAAGGTCTCGTTACGATTCTCAAATCATTAAGGGCGAAACAAGGAATAAAACGAGTATTTCTATCGAGGTCTTTGTGAAAAAAGTGTTGGTTATAGATTTGTTGTTGACAAAACTCTTGGGTTGCAGTATCTTTTGCAAAAGGAGAATGTACAAAATATTGAGTTGATCGCTGTGTTTGTCTCCTCTATTTTCTGAACGAAACAACCAATGATTTAAAAAGGAAAATCATAAAAAATTTACTTTTGCATATCACTTTAGGCCCGTGTTATTTTCCAGTGGATGACTGACTCTAAAGCCGATGCCAGGTGTATGATGGATTTTGCTTTATTATGATTAATTCGTTTCTGAAGCCTGTTTAATCTGGCGAGCTCAATATGGACTTAAATATTTCTGCCAATTCTGGTTGGTTGCATTGGCGTGTTGCTAGCTGCTTTAGTATTGTTCTCTATTGTTTCTGGAAGAGGCAGTATTAATGTGACATCACAACATCTGTGCTTTATTATATTTTTGACAGGGATCAAAGCGGTGACGTTCAGTGATTGGGAGAAGATCGACCTGCAGGAGATCAGCAGAGGAGCAGCTGTGGGGAAGCCCAGGGAGAAGGTGCTGAGGGTGGAAGAGATGCTGGAGCTGGCACATACATGATTTACTGCTGCTACTACTGCTGTTACTACTGCTGCTCCTACTACTGCTACTGCTACTGCTACTACCGCAACTACTACTAGGACGGCCAAGTGGCTGAGTGGTTAGCGCTTTCACTTATCAGCAAACATTCTCTTTCCGACCCACCCTCTTCCTCCACGTCCCCGACCCGATGGCAAAAGACACATTTTTAATAAATCTTAATGTAAGTTTGTTGCCCCAAGGCCACTTAAGGTTGTATCTTTGAAGGACCTTTCTGAGTGGGGTTTGAATATTCTCCTTGTGTCTACGTAGTTTCCTTCAGGTGCTGCGGTTTCCCCTACCACTGAAATCATGTACGATAGGTAAAATCCTGCTCTGGTCCTGACCAAGAGCACCAACATCTGAGGGTGGGCCCTGGTACTACAGAGACCACTGCTCCTGATAGAAACCCCAGTGACAATAAAGGATCAGAGGACACATATCCCCAAATGGGTCGATAAAGTATATACAGCTACCATTACTACTACTACTTCTGCTGCTATAACTACTACTACTGCCACTGCTAATACTATTGCTACTACTGCAACCTCCTATGCCTTATTTTATAAAATAGAAATTCAATCATTGTAAATCCAACTGAAATGTATAATTGTAAGTGATTATTTGTGTTTGATACTGTGTAAGTCATATGTGGTGTATTTAATCATGCCAATCAAAGATGTTTTACAAATGTAAAATGTTTTTAATATAATAAAGAGATGACTTTTCCAGGGCAGGACTCCTCCGATGTTTGTTACCACAGACAACTTAATTACGAGCAATGAATAAGAGGTATGAATAATCAAATCTATACACTCGTTTCATCTAATTTAACAATATAAGACTAATTCTAAATCTATTTCAAATCCTTGTAGTTAAAAAAGTAAGCAAAGAACTGTGCCTACAAAATTAAAAACTATCAAATACAATGAAAAAAGAGCACTCCTCTTTTTTTGTGTGGAATTAGAGTACTGTTCAGAATCTAATGCGCTTAGAGATTCACAAATGTATAGGAACCTCAGTGCGACCAGACAGGTAAAAGTCCTGCCCCAATTATTTTCTAGATTTAAGATAAGAAAAGATTGACTTTATTAATCTCACACAGGAGAAATGTACATGTCACATCTGGCATGGATAGAATCACTCATTTACACAATGTCTTTGAATTAGTGATTCGAATTTCTTTTAAACAGCGTGAAAGGGAAGGGAAGTGACTGACAAACAGCAGAGGCCGATGTGGGATAAGTTGTTGCTCAAAGGGGATCCTTTGGTTTATGTTCTGCCCAAATATGAATAAATAATAATAATAAAATGGTGAAAGTGCAGGTTTCTCATTGTGTTTATGAAACCAACTAAAGAGTCAGATTCTTCAGCTTAATCTCTCGTAATTACAGTGCTGTAACTGTACTGTCTGTTCCAGTCTGAACTGTTAAATACAAACTATTGTTAGGAATCAGCCAAAGTCTGGGATCGTGTCTTTAATTCAGACAGAAGACATGTTTTATTGTCAATGGTAGAGACAGAACGAACAAAGGATTTTACAGACAGCAAGTGGTAATATACTCAGGAGAAACGGAGACCTCCAATCAGCAGCTTCCACAGTGTGCTTGTAGCTTGGCCTTCAGAAATCAAAACATCAAATGGAAAAGTACAGGCGTCTGCATATGTAAGAATGAAGTTAGAACTTTAACAATAGTTGCTTCAAAGTGTTTTGAAATCTCACACTATGTTCACCCTTATTCTAATGTGCAGCTCTCATTCTTTAACATTAACAGTAGAGAAAGTAAACATTTGGGCTCAAAACAGACACACACAGGAAAACCAAGTATCTGTGTACTATGGGAAAAAGCTGGAGCAGAAGCTCGCACAGTTGGATACCGCCCAGAGGACACTGCCTTCAACTGCCCCAAGCCCCCCGACCCCACATCCCCCAGCTTCTATGATTTACTATAGAGATTTCTCACGTGACGTCACAAGGGCTTGAAGTCGCGAGGCCTCCGCCATATTGGAGGACAAGCAAACGCAGTGCGGTAGTGGCGTGCACCCGGCACCGCATAAACTAGTTCACATTATAGTGCCTTTTTTTGGCTGCAGCAATAGGGGAGACAGGGACAATCAGTTGTTACTTCACATGGCTCCAAAACAGAAGAAATCTCCAAGAAACGAGAGAGAAATGGCACAACAACAAAAAACCGACAGCCTCCAGAACATCCGAATATGCTCGGATAATTTCATTTCTGCTAAGTAAAATTAATTTTGTGGCGGATTTAATGTTATTCAGAAACAATCGGAAGTTTAAGGATAATATAGACTTATCACTGTCTGAGTGCAACATGGGGTTGCACTGGACCTCACAGGGGGTTGCACCCGGCTCACAGGGTATCTGACTTGCCGAAGGCCAGCAGACGTGTGAACGACTGAGCCATGTTCGAGGCAATGTGCCCAGTACTAGTATTTATTAATAAAACATACGGGTCCTCACAGTAGACCATAGACTGTATATAATGACGGACGTAGTCACGCCTATCTCCGCCGTTCTAACTAATGGGCCAAAAATTGGGCTTTCACGGAGTGATTCAAAATGGTCGCAGGGGCTGGAAAATGTGAAAAAACGCATCTGCGCATGCGTCAGCCGGCACGAGCCCCATTCATTTAAACGAGTGACTTCTAAAATTCACAGCAAGTAAACTAGACTAGTCCAAAAAAAATTCACTCCCCTCAGCATTGACACACATGTGGAACGGAGCTTTGGGCCAAGGGCCAACTTTTGAACCTTCCTGTCAAAGTGTTTTCGAGAGGTAAGAAGATGCTATATGTTAGCATTGGCTAAGTCTTATTCTGGGTCCACCCCCATCGGCCCGGGGTGGTATTGCAAGCACGTCAGCGCACGTCATTTTGGTCACTTTTGAGCAGTAGACGCAGAAAGTTCCATTGATTTGAATATAATTTCATTATTTCCACGCTAGTGTAGCCACACACAGATCCGTGGTGTAACAATAAACACAACTAACAAAAAACACATTTAAATGTTAATGGGAGAATACATTATACATATACATTCTTAATACACATACACAGAGGATTTCAGAATGAGCTCCTAACGTTTTGTCGCATTAAAAAATACTGTTTTAATGCGACAAAATGCAACCGCGGTAAACCCGGAAGTAACTATTAACATTACTGATACATTTTAGGACTCATTTGCAGAGGATCTGATTCATGGATTTAGGTTGAGTATGTATTTGGGTCACTAACTGCAGATTTTTCGAATTCTTTGTTCAGTTTTCATGTAGTTCGAGAAAGTTCTAGTTTTTTATGTCCATTTATAGGTAGCTAGCATGGCTTTACTCGCCTAGGTTCTGTTAGTATTAGATAGCAATATGGCCTACGTGCAGGACTGTACAAGGACTCTACAAGGACTCCATGTTATGACTATGATGTGACTGTCTCTTTGTGACTTCCTCGGACAAGAGTCTAAGGTTATTTATGGCTCTGGAGATGCTACCGTCTGGCGCAGTATTATTGGGAATAAACGTACAGCATTTGTCTTGGAAAAAATGGCACACTCCCGAGCTACTTGCTAGAATCATGTCTAGGGCTAATCTATTTTGCCAGGCCATCAATGAGGTTGGTGCCAATTGCTCTGAAATGCTCTCAAGTGCGCCAATTGTATAGTTGATGAATCTCTGTTGGTTGTAATATATGTAATTGATCCAGGCTACATTCATGTTGGAGGTGGGCCAGCTAAACAAGATTGAGGCTAGTCCCCTAGTTATTTCGTTTTGAGCCTTGAATTCATCCGGCACACCTACAGTTCTCCTCCTGTATGGCCGCCGTGGCTACCATTCACGTGACCGTAGGATTTGTCTATAAATTGTTACTCATTTCTTTCAGGGTTCAATGTTTACTGTAAAATAAATGCTGAGGTTTTTGTCTTGAAGAAATCCGCTTTGAATTGTTGTGTAACTGCAGAACACGCGGTGCACAGACTCTCAGTGGGGGCCGCACTGACATCAAAGTTTCATGTCTACTAATGGCCCGCAGGCCGCATGTTTGGAACCTCGGCTCTAAACCAAATATTCTTGGTTTTTGCAGTCACGTGACGCATCAACTTCCGGTTGATGAAGTGGTGGTCCGGCCAACAAAAATTTCTGCTGACATGCAAAGAAAATGCAACTCTTCTGCTTTATTTATTTATTTTTACTGGAAAAACTTTCCCTATGGGGAAATCTATTAAGACAATAGACCCTAACTGTGCTTTTTGTAAAGAAAAGCCAGAAACAATGTGTCACCTATTTTGGGATTGCACACATGTAAAAAAGAATTCTGGAAGGAGTGCTTACGATTATTAAGACAACAAATTGACCCCACTTTGTTTTTAAAGATTGAACACATCCTTTTTTGGATTTCATGGAAAAAAAAAAAAACATTCAGACTGGTCAATTAACTGGCAAATTTTACATCCACAAATGTAAGTTCTCTTCATCAGCCCACTTTTTCTCAGTATTAATTAAACAAATTGAATCATATATCTCAACGATCACAAAAAGTACTAACCAAAAAGCTATATTAACATGCTAAATTGGCATTACTCTTTATTTACACTTTGGCTTTGTTTTTCTATAGTCTCTTGTGTTTTGTAGGAACATGTATAATAATAATAATAGAAGAATTAAAGCCGCAAGCGGCGTCGAACGGGCCTCGCCGCTCTGCGCGACACCCCGCAGCGCGCGACACCCCAAACCGCGGGACTCGCCAAACCGTGCGAGCCGCCGCACTGCGCGAGTTGCGGGGTACAAATCAGACTTTATACATGTGCTCCTGTTTACACATACAATCTGAGAGTGTGTCCATATATATACAGTCTCCATTGGATGACCATGTGACGCACCATCTTCCTAAAGCCCTGTTGGGAGCGACGCTGTGTATTTTGAATGTCTATGATCAATGATTGTGTGTCTCTATTGAAAAACTAAACCCCA